TGCATCTAGGAAAATTAATTCCAACTCATTGTAACACCGGGTTCGCGTGTTATATTATATAAACTGCAATTCCTAGCGCAACGAGTACCACTGCGCACACACACAACTTTCGATATAATTCGCGTTACGGAATTTTCTAGCTATATATTACTATACTGGGAGATTGAGATTTAAATTCTGCATCTAGGAAAATTAATTCCAACTCATTGTAACACCGGGTTCGCGTGCAATAATATAAAAACTACAATTACTAGCGCAACGAGTACCACGGCGCACACACACAACTTTCGATATAACTCGCGTTACGGAATTTTCTTGCTACATATTACTATACTGGGAGATAGAGATTTAAATTCTGCATCTAGGAAAATTAATTCGAACTAATTGTAACACCGGGTTCGCGTGCAATAATATAAAAACTACAATTACTAGCGCAACGAGTACCACGGCGCACACACACAACTTTCGATATAACTCGCGTTACGGAATTTTCTAGCTATATATTACTATACTGGGAGATTGAGATTTAAATTCTGCATCTAGGAAAATTAATTCCAACTCATTGTAACACCGGGTTCGCGTGCAATAATATAAAAACTACAATTACTAGCGCAACGAGTACCACGGCGCACACACACAACTTTCGATATAACTCGCGTTACGGAATTTTCTAGCTATATATTACTATACTGGGAGATTGAGATTTAAATTCTGCATCTAGGAGAATTAATTCGAACTAATTGTATCACTGGGTTCGCGTGCAATAATATAAAAACTACAATTACTAGCGCAACGAGTACCACGGCGCACACACACAACTTTCGATATAACTCGCGTTACGGAATTTTCTAGCTATATATTACTATACTGGGAGATTGAGATTTAAATTCTGCATCTAGGAAAATTAATTCCAACTCATTGTAACACCGGGTTCGCGTGTTATATTATATAAACTGCAATTCCTAGCGCAACGAGTACCACTGCGCACACACACAACTTTCGATATAATTCGCGTTACGGAATTTTCTAGCTATATATTACTATACTGGGAGATTGAGATTTAAATTCTGCATCTAGGAAAATTAATTCGAACTAATTGTAACACCGGGTTCGCGTGCAATAATATAAAAACTACAATTACTAGCGCAACGAGTACCACGGCGCACACACACAACTTTCGATATAACTCGCGTTACGGAATTTTCTTGCTACATATTACTATACTGGGAGATAGAGATTTAAATTCTGCATCTAGTAAAATTAATTCGAACTAATTCTAACACCGGGTTCGCCTGTAATAATAAAAAAACTACAATTCCTAGCGCAACGAGTACCACGGCGCACACACACAACTTTCGATATAACTCGCGTTACGGAATTTTCTAGCTATATATTACTATACTGGGAGATTGAGATTTAAATTCTGCATCTAGGAAAATTAATTCCAACTCATTGTAACACCGGGTTCGCGTGTTATATTATATAAACTGCAATTCCTAGCGCAACGAGTACCACTGCGCACACACACAACTTTCGATATAATTCGCGTTACGGAATTTTCAAGCTATATATTACTATACTGGGAGATAGAGATTTAAATTCTGCATCTAGTAAAATTAATTCGAACTAATTCTAACACCGGGTTCGCCTGTAATAATAAAAAAACTACAATTCCTAGCGCAACGAGTACCAGTGCGCACACACACAACTTTCGATATAACTCGCGTTACGGAATTTTCTTGCTATATATTACTATACTGGGAGATAGAGATTTAAATTCTGCATCTAGTAAAATTAATTCGAACTAATTCTAACACCGGGTTCGCCTGTAATAATAAAAAAACTACAATTCCTAGCGCAACGAGTACCACGGCGCACACACACAACTTTCGATATAACTCGCGTTACGGAATTTTCTAGCTATATATTACTATACTGGGAGATAGAGATTTAAATTCTGCATCTAGTAAAATTAATTCGAACTAATTCTAACACCGGGTTCGCCTGTAATAATAAAAAAACTACAATTCCTAGCGCAACGAGTACCACGGCGCACACACACAACTTTCGATATAACTCGCGTTACGGAATTTTCTTGCTATATATTACTATACTGGGAGATAGAGATTTAAATTCTGCATCTAGTAAAATTAATTCGAACTAATTCTAACACCGGGTTCGCCTGTAATAATAAAAAAACTACAATTCCTAGCGCAACGAGTACCACGGCGCACACACACAACTTTCGATATAACTCGCGTTACGGAATTTTCTAGCTATATATTACTATACTGGGAGATAGAGATTTAAATTCTGCATCTAGTAAAATTAATTCGAACTAATTCTAACACCGGGTTCGCCTGTAATAATAAAAAAACTACAATTCCTAGCGCAACGAGTACCTCTGCGCACACACACAACTTTCGATATAACTCGCGTTACGGAATTTTCAAGCTATAAGTTTCAATACCAGGAGATACAGACGGGGTCGTCGAGAGCCAGCGCGGGCCCAGGGGAAAATCCGCGGGCCCCGGTAATCGTTAATTTTTTCCTAATTTTTTGTGTTTGCGATTTAAAAGCGATCAGCCGGGCTCCGCGGAATTTACCCCAGTTGACCCCCCTCTCATCGGTCTGGTAGGTAGGGAGTACGTGATAAATAGAAAACTTGTTTATAAGCAGCAAATGTCAATTTGACCGAAAAATATAATTGAATTATAAACTTACCAGTGTACAGCTTATGGGACTGCCAGGCACAGCGAGTGTTGTAACTAAACGAAAACATAAATTAAAACAAAAATATTTCATACAATAGAATTATGTTATAATTAACAATCAACACAGAATAAACAATCTGTGCTGTTTCGTTAAAAGATACTTACACGAGTCTGATGGATCTTTCTTAATAATGAGAATCAACATGGGCGCGATAAATATCCGATTAATTTAGCAACCGACACCGAACACAACGCCGAGTGAAGAATGTTATCAAATCCACTATCACGTGACTTGTAATATACGTACATAACTTTAGATTATTGAAGTCCGAATAAGCGATGTAAGTCTCTCAAAACACGACTGGATTAACCAGCGACCGGCACGAAACTGGCTGTAATCCACCGATAGTGCATGCCGAAACTGCGTAAACAACGACGGGACAGTATATGATAAGAAAGCAAGATGTGCACAAAGACGGCGCGGCGAAGGCACGTAACGTTGTGCGCGAATTTGCAATAGGCACATTACCTGTGATCTAAACTAGATAAACTAGACTTCGCTGCATGCAGCAAGTTGATGCGGCGCTAGCGGACGGCGCGCGGGACACATGCGATAAAAACGTTGTTTACACCGAATCGCAGATAACAGCATTGCATACAAAACTATTCTCGTGCCCACTTTTAACGACAAATATAAAAATAAGCCATATAGTGCCATCAATGAATGCGACAGATACTAGTCCTACAATTTAAGCTATTATAATCAATAATTAATGTTTTCACTTTTGTGTGCAATACATATTGTCAATTAACACGTAGACAAAGTGCGAAAATGTGAAAATTTTCAATTTTGGACCAGTTTCTTCAATTGTGAATATCTCGTAAACTAAAAGAGATACAATGGTCAAATTGCAGATTCTTTATCTACGGATTTTATTAGCTTCATTGATGAATACGTAATCCATTGTATAGTTTAAAAATATTTATTTATTAAAGTTCTACGTGATTTCTTCGGGATTTACATTTTATATATTACATTTTATATATTATAAACTCAGTTTATGAAGATGCTATCAGGGCGAAACATGTCAAAGAAAGTCAATATATAAAATGTAAATCCCGAAGAAATCACGTAGAACTTTAACAAATAAATATTTTTAAATTTTGTCAACGGAAATTTCTCTATCAGATAAGCTAGTTAAAACGGAAATCTGAGAGCTTGATACTTTTTTCGACGATTTTTGAAAATTAATATCTCGTAAACTAAAAGCGATAGCTACCAACGAATTATTGATTATGAAAGATTGGAAAATTCTCTATCAGATAAAAATATAAAATAATTATATTTCCCACAGTAAAAGGTAAAAATGCGGCTAAAAGTGCTAAAAGTGACATTTCTCAATTTTTGCCCATTTTATTCAAACGCGAATATCTCGTAAACTAAAAGAGATATTTAAGATCTGATCGCAGCGTCTTAATCTACGGACTATTTTCTATCAGATAGCTTAGTTAAAACGGAAATCTGAGAAATAAAATTTTACATCTTAAGAAAAAATTGCCAAGGGGGTGCTTGATACTTTTTTCGACGATTTTGAAAATTAATATCTCGTAAACTAAAAGCGATAGCTACCAACCATTTATTGATTATGAAAGATTGGAACATTCTCTATCCGATAAATATATAAAATAATTATATTTCCTACAGTAAAAGGTCGAAAATCGCGACTAAAAGTGCTAAAAGTGACATTTCTCACGGCGCGCGGGACACGTGCGATAAAAAAGTTGTTTCTATCGAATCGCTGATAACAGCATTGTGTACAAAACTATTCTCATGTCCACGTTTGTCAATAAATATAAAAATAAGCCGTTTAACTCGATTTTATGAATTTTAGTGCATCCTAGTGCCATCTATAATTACTACAAATAGTAGTCCCGCAATTTAGACTAATATAATAAATCAGTTTGATTTGTTTAATTTTGCACATAATCCAAATCAAATCGAACAAAATCATAACAATAAATTGGTACTTGTATATCCGCCAACTTAAACCACAAAATAGTCTGAAAAATGGGCGTCGAGAGAAAAGAACTGAAATTCGTTTTTCTCTAGCCCTTTTAGTTCAAGACTTTTAAACTACCATCTATCCATGAGAAAAACTCTCTTACTTTATTTTTATACAAGATCTAGATGATTTTCCACACCACATTTGTATAAATATACATGTCATCGTTTTTCTGCAAATGCTAAGGGTTTAAAGAGTAGAAAGAGTATAAAGGAACCGAATATTGTAGGGCAATGATAATATATTATTAATCACTTATAGTACATTAATAATCAACTACAAAAAGTGTTAGCACACATATCTTTGGTCCTATAACTTGTACACTTATGCCATTGCTTATTTGCAATCTTATCAATAATCAAGACACATGATTAAATACAGAACCGAGTTCATTCAAATGATATGATGACGATATGATTTCATAAATGCAATCAATCCCTGCAATGCAATATTATATAAACATAAATAAAACGCGAACAACTTATACATAAAATCACATTCAATGACTAGACGCTTAATACTAAATGACTAAATAAACAAATAAATGAATTAATACTTTCAAGTGTGTCTTTTAAGGCTTCTGATGCTGATTTACATTTGTGTTCGTGTGCGTTTTACTTCATAAGCACAGCAAACTTTTTCCTCGCTGCCGAGCTTTCCGGCAACGCTAATATCCATTTCCGGATACCAATAACAAGCACAGAGCTCATGACTAGAACTGCTCCGGCCACCGAATACACATTCGGCGCCTCTTTAAAGAAAGCCACTTGCCAGCAAAACGCAAACACAATATCTGAACTCCTTGCAATCGCCACCGGCCCAGCCTGCTCAACCTGCAACGCCACCGTTAACAAAATCTGCCCGAGAAAACTAAAGAAAGCTAACGCAACCACCAACAGCCTATCATGCCCACATTGTGGCAGACACAGCGCGCCTATCATCGCAGCAACAACCAAACATTGCACAAGCGCATATGAACCAAAATTAGTCATGATAACCGAAAAATGTATACCCTTCAATGCCCTGAGTAAAACATATGCATTCGCACCGAATAACGTCGATGTGAACGCGGCCACAGCGCTCCAAATCTCAGTCTCGCCATGATCCTGCTCCCCGAGTGAAGCGATCGTATTACTAAATAAAACTGGCGGTCGCGTTACAAGTACCACGCCGATCAACGTCATCAAGACGGTGATTACATTGAACCAGCCACAGGGTTCTTTCAGGAACATCCGCGCAAATATCGCGGTGAATACCGGCACGCTGAAGACAATAACGCTTGCGTCCGCCAGTGGCATATGTCGGAAGGCGTAAAAGCTTAACATCAATGCAGTGGTGCCGGTTATCGAGCGCAGAAGCAGCATGATTCGCTTGCCTTGCGGAAATAACGGCTCCTGCTTATAGATGACAATCGGAATTGCAGGTAGCAGCACGCCAATGTACCGGTAAGCTGCAAGCGCGATCGGATCCACATCGCGCATCCATTTCACAATGACAGAACATAGAGAGAAGAATAATGAGCTGAGGATGGCCAGTATAAGGCCCAAATACGGACATTTGAAGCATCTTAATTTGTAGCCTCGGTCTTCTTTGATGTAATGATGTGGCTGCAGCTGGAATTGGACGATTTCCTCTTCGATTTCTTCGTCGACGAGTTGTTGCAGCTCCACATTCTCACCCATTGCTTTCTCCATCATCATCATTGTAAAACAGGTTATTCAAGGAAATGACTAGCTCTAAATACCTAAAATATACAACATATTGTACACATAGAAATATTGAAGCAATTACTTACTTGTTTCAGTCGTGATTTATTGCATTTCATGCAAATTTTGATGATTTTACGATTGATCGTTTCTCATGTTGTTGCGGTGCATATTCCTGTTAGTTCACAATTCCCCGCGTAGTATTCAGTGTTATTATCAGCAGAAATAGATGAACTTGCGTAAATGTCGGTAACATTTTAATAAATATTATTTCTAACGGCGTATTTGTTTAAAACATTCTGCGGATAAAGTTGTGATGATGTGAATGAGGCGAGTCCGGTGAGAAATGTCAGTGTCAGTTTGCCGGTGAATTACGCTGCACGATAGGCAACCCAACCTACACCAAAACACCTTCAACACTTATTAAACTAACACAAAAAAATATGATGCATTTGAAAAGACTATTGCTAGTCACAGATTGAAACTCAGCTATGCCAACAACTTAAAACAGAAAACATACGGATGAAAATCGATATATTTGTAGTTCGTAAACAACGCTCAATGCAGATTTAAATTGTAATTAATTCATTCATTACCTTAGCTACCCTATATGCCTACTCCTGCTTGGGAATCTTACATAGATTCATCAACGGCCTCATCTTGATCTCCCCATTGATCTTCACCACACCCTCACGGGCATCAATCGACAACAACTCGCCCGTAGCCTCGCGCTCCTCACCAATGATAACTTTAAAGAAGTCACCTCGCTGCGGACGCACCGGGTCCAAATGATCGCACATAATATTAACGGTGCGATCCTCCTCGGGCAGAAACACCGAGCACATCGCACCGTTAATACTACGAATCACACCCGTCTGTCCAGCCAGACCTTGATCATCATGCGAATCCCTAATACGCACTTCAATATCAACCGTATGCCATTCAGTCATTGGGAACACATCCAAACCCGCGCCGGGCGTTTGCGGATTATTCGGCATACCCGGTGAATAACCACTGCTAGGCGTATTATACGGATGGTGATTCGCAGAGGGTGATTGCCCATAACCAGTCGCGGGAGACGGCGTGGACACCACACTCTGATATCCCGGAGAAGGCTGGAAAGGCGAATAAGTCGCCTCGTAAATAGTCCCAGGAGTCTGCGGCGTGAACGATGAATTCATCTGATACCCAGGTGTAGACGGGCTGTACGCCGGTGATGGATACGAATTCGATGAGGACGGATCCCACTCAGAGCCGGCATTCGGCGTCCTGGATCCATCATGGATCGGTGTCATCGAACCATAATGCAATGGCGTACGTGACCCCGAATCACACATGGGAGTCTTATTACCAGTCTCGCGATACATCGGCGTCTGTGATCCGGAATACGCTGGAGTCGCACGGGAGTACGACGAGGCAGAACCATGATCCCTGCTTGGTTGCGCAACATCCGCAATGTGTTTTCGGTCGACCGAAATTGTCTGACAGCCGGTATGCAGTTCAATCCTCGCTGTGGATTGTGTCGCATCCTTAACAATACCAATATTACCTTTGTAATGACCCTTGGTAATCTTAATCGTGGTACCGATGATATCCCTATCACGAGTTACTCTTCCTCCACCGCGTCCGCGTCCACCACCACCGAAACCACCACGACCGCCGCCACCACCTCGAACTCCACCACCGCCGCCTCCTCCACTGGAAGGATGCATGGGACTCTGGCGTCTAGGCGACATCAACTCAAACCCAGCGGTTATATCACCATTGGGGCCGGATTTACTACCGCCTGATAGGAATAAATGCTTTGTTTTACACACGAAAATACCGCCATTTTGTAGGAACTCCATTGAGTGTAGAAAAGCAAAATTACGATAGAGATGTTTAATCTCCCCGGAGAATCCTGAATGTGGCCCATCGATAACCTTAACCATATCCTTTCTGTGTAAATTATTACGGTAGGTGTCCAATGCGGCTGTATACCGCTGTTGACGACGTTTCTGCAGTGAAGATGGCCGACACTCGACAACTTTCCCATGCATATTCAAAACATGAAAGTTTTCCTTCTCCAATCGAACAATTACACCAACAGTCTCGGAATCCAAATTAACTAAATCACCCCATTCGAATTTACCAAGGGAATCCACCCCGGACGCCATATCAGTACACAATTGTAAATCTTTAGGTAAAATCTCCATTTCATGCATGGTGAGGTCAGAAATAAGCACAACGCGATTAGCTTCGACTCGTACAACCAACCCGGTGTCACCTTCGAATCTCCCGGATAACACCTTCACATGATCGCCCATTTTGAAGTATTTCCGCAGCTCAGCCGCTTGAAACTGCAGCGGATCTTTGAGATCTTCGTGCTTTGGCATGACAGTAATCATCGTGCCATCTATACTCAAAATCTTACCCTGCAGATTGATCAATTCGCCCTCGCATACCTCAACGTTATCACCGGCTGAGAAACTGTGACTCACAGTTTTATCCTCCTTCTCTGTGGGGAGTTCTAAGTCAATACCTTCGGGTTGTTCTTCAAAGCGTTCCAATTCGGCGAGTGTGGGTTTGACTCCTTCGACAATCACAGCGGAAAGTGTGAAGTTTTTGTAGAGGAAACCTTTGCGTGAGTAGCGATTGCCTTCGAAGATTAAAAAGTCACCGTCGGATGTGACTTCGCCTCCAATGGCGCGTATAGCTTCCGGATCGAAGGGTTTACAAGGCGGGCGTCGTTTCTTTTTCTTTTTATCCGCTTCGGAGTCGGATTGTGTGGTTCTTAGAGCTCCTCGCAGTCGGGTGTAGTCTATTCTTGGTAGGAGTTTAAGATGGACTTGGTTCTGGGCCATGTCGAAGTAGTCCACTTGCGCGATGTCGTCTTTGTAGATACCTCGACGTAGACGCACCCATTGTTTAGCTTTGAGTCCGGCTTGTTCTTTGACAACGCGCAGGACGTCAGTCATTTCGGTGATGGGGACCATTTGCTGCTTCCAGATGCCCATGCGGAGGTTACTCACGTTCTCCATGGCGGCCTTCACGTGCGGTTGTTTGTACGCTTCGATGTAGATGTAGCCTTTGACGCCTTCGGGCGCCACGACGGATTTTATCTGCAGGGCTTGCTCGGTGCTTTGGTACGCGAGGAATTTGCGCATTAGGTGTAGGCATGTTGCTTTCTCTTCGCCGATGCGACATTTGACCATCCAGAGGTTGGGATCTTTTACGCCAGGGAGTAGGGTTTGTTGTGTGATCTCGTCGGACATTTCTTCACCGCCATCGCCGAAGTGTCGAGCTGCCACGCCGTCGTCCGCGTATTTCTTACGCAGGTATTCTTCGATTTCATGCTCTTTATGGGCACTAAATGAATAAATAATGTTAATAAATGTTGTAAATTATATTTTGATGATATTCTTACTCCCATAAGTTGGTTCCGCGTCGTCGTCCTTCAATATCCCTAGCTGTAGGCCCAGATTCGTCCACTTCATTAGCAACAATGCCAATTTCCTGGGCGCCATCCTCCCATTCATCTTCATCTTCCACCTCGTCGTCGACTTCGGCTTCGTCAATGATAAAACCGCCATAGCGATCCTTTTTGCGTCGTTTACGCCCGCGGTCTGAGTCCTCTTCCTCAGAGTCAAACTCTTCTGAGTCCACATCTTCAGCTTCAATTGCAGATCCATCACTAAAACATTACAAATACTATAAAATATATAATATGTAGATTTTATGTTATAACTAACCGTGAACGTGATCGAGAGCGTGACCTGGACCGGCTGCGACTTCTTGCAGATCGCGGACTTGCTGAACCAGACGCGTCCGAATTATCTTCAGAGTCCGACATCTAAAAATATTAATAATTAATTATAAATGTTTATGATGGTATTGTTGTTAATTAAAGTTACGGCTGTGTTAATGTATTGCGTGCGTTGTGGAATTAAAACTTTATTCAGAGGAGTACAATTCGTTTACACGCAAACACCAAACAAGACGCCATTTGCAAAGTCACTAGACACCAAATCGCGGAGAACATATTTACTAATTGGCAGTACTGATTTCCCGCAAAGTAACTAAACCTATAATTGTTTCAAATAATATTTTATCTTTAACTTGTTATTTTAATTAATATCTTTATCAAAATAGCTTTTCAAATATATTTCTTGCGTTTAGTTGTTCAGAATAAAGAATTTCGTTAACATCACACACAATACCAAACGCGACGTCATTTGTAAAGTCACTAGACACCAAATAGAGGGGAATACATTCCACTATTGGTACTTCTAATACCACCAAAGTAACCAAACTACCAACCATGTTTTTAAGTACCAGGTACATATATCATAAAAATAAAACCCCATCTTTACTTGGTTTCAATTTCAATTCATTTCTTTATAAAAATAAGTTTGTACCGTTGTACTTACGAGAATAAACACTTTTAAAACTGAAACACAAACGAACTGATTCCGCTGGCTTGGCGTTTAAATATAGTTTAAATTGTTTCCTGGTTTTGATTCCACATTATACAATTATAATCGAACTAGCCGTAATTTTAAACTAAACGCTATCATCTGCTTCCTTTATTGTTTAAATTCGTACTCGTAATGATTGCCGCCTACCTGCGTCGATCCTTCGACCGCTCATCCCTGCTCCTATCCCGATCACGCGCGTCTTTATCATCATCGCGATGCTTCGGCCGCCGGCTATAACGATCCTTATCACCGCCGCCTGCATCACGATCGTATTTTTTACTGCGCGATTCCTTCTCATCATAACGATCATCTTTATACCGTTCGTATTTATCATAACGGTCGATGTAACGCGAATCGTTGCGGTTTTCACGATCGTTGCTCAGCGAACGACTTTTTCTTCTTTCCCTGAAAGAAAAAATTAAAAAAAAAAAATTAATTATTTATAATAATAATGAAATAATTAATTACCTGTTTTTCCGTTTGTGTGGTGAATTCGACCTGGACCTAGACCTGGAATAACTCCGCCGTTTATGACTTTTCCGTTTGGGTTGCGGTGATCGACTGCGACTCTTATGCTTCTTGCTGCGTTTATGATGTTTATTCGTCGGCGAATGGCTCGCAGATCGACTGCGGCTGTGACTCTTCTTCTCGCTGGTGATTGCAGGCACCACATGACTCCCGCTGCGACTAATAAACCCGCCCCAGGCGTTATGCGCGCCCGTTGTCTTCGCCGTCGTGGTATTATCACTCGACGGTGAGCTATTGTTGTGATTCGGTGTGTTTGTGCCCGAACCGCCTTTCGCTTTCAGTTTGGCGTCCTGGTACTTCCTGCGCAGCTCATCGGCGCGTTTCTCTAGCTCTTCCACGTTGGGTTTGGGGCGATTGTATAAGCGGAGGATGCGGACGCATACGTCGCGGATGTCGCGCTCGCGCACGCCGAAGATCGTATACCAGGCGGGGTTCTTCGGCAGGGGGAGTTTGAGTTTGCGAGCGGTGAGGTAAATGCAGGCGCAGGCGACTGTTTCAGGTTGGTAGCGCACGAAGACATCCGTGCGCAGGGAATCGTTCATGTAGTTCCAGGAGTACTGCATGAGATTCGCGTGGCGTTCCAGGCAGAGGACTTGTAAGTACATTACTATTATCTAAAAACAATAAAAATATATTAAATTATGTTAAGTATTAATCAATTATGGAGCTTGGCTTAGAAAATTACGAAAAAAGTAAGTTTTTCTCACAATTTTTCAGTTTTTTGGACATAAAATCAACAATTTTCGTCAGAATTAAACAAAACTTGTCGTAAACATTAACTATTAAATTGTTTATAAGATTGACTTTGAAATTTTATGTTATCATCATTAATTTCTGAAATATTTGATGTCAAATTTGAAAAAGTGTTAAATATGCTATTTGTTACTATTTTGTTTATAGCGCTTAAAATATTCATGGTATATTAATGAAATTAATAATAATGGTAAAGTATTAGATTATTTATAATATTGTTTTTAAAACTTTCAATTTTTGCTTTTAGTTTTTGAGATATTTAATGTCAAAGTGGAAGATTGCTTCGAAAATTATCAAAAAAGTTAAATAACACAACATTTCAGTTTTTTGGCAATAAAATCAACAATTTTCATAAGATTTAAACAAAACTTGTCATAGACATTAACTATTAAATTGTTTATAAGACTGACTTTGAAATTTTATGTTATCATCATAAATTTCTGAAATATTTGATGTCAAAGTTGAAAAAAATGTTAAATATGCAATTTGTTACTATTTTGTTTATAGCGCTTAAAATATTCATGGTATATTAACGAAATTAATAAGAACTGTAAATTATTAGATTAGTTATAATATAGTTTTTAAAAATTTAAAATTTTGTTACATGTTTTTGAGGTATGTAATGTCAAAGTTGAAGATTACTTCAAAAATTATCGAAAAAAGTTTAATAACAAAGCATTTCAGTTTTTCGGTCATAAAATCAACAATTTTCATCAGATTTAAACTAAACTTGCTATAAAAATTAATTATTAAATTGTTTATAAGACTAATTTTGAATTTTTTCATTACCACCATTAATTCCTGAGATATTTGCAATCAAAGTTGATAATTTTCAGAAATGACGTTAAAGTTAATTTTTGAAAATGTGAAAATCTGTATAAATACCTTATGAGGATGCTTAATATGAACACAAAACCCAAGCTCCTTCAGGATGCGCCGCTCGGCGCTGATGATTTGATTCTTCAGCTGGACGTAGTTCTGATCGAGGATGACCGGCGTGATAGGTCTGCATGTTAAAAACATTCCAAAAACAAACAAGAAGACGACATACTCGTTAGCAAATCACGCACAGTTCTACATAGAAGGATAAATATTCAAAAAAAAACTTCAAACACGTAGTAAAACGTGACTAAAATTCCCGCCCCTTTTCAACAACAACAACGCGTCCTTCTTTGTAAAAACCAACACAAATTACGTATTTAAATAAATGATTGTTCAAGGCATCAAAAAATGGTGGTAATTTTAGTCTGTTTTACACTGAAACCGAAACAAGACCACGAAATCATCTCCGAATCTTAAGGTTTTCTTATCGCAGCAACCGGAGGGTACCACCATTTAATGACTTGTTACAACACATTACCGGATGCATCGGCCTCGCCTCCTCTCGTCTGCGTGCACGTCGTCGTGGTCGGGCCTCGTGGGTTGCTGCGCCTGAAACTCGACTACCGATGCATGATTAATCATTGAATTCGCACACGTACATCATCAACATGAGCTTGGCCCTTGAGCGTGTGTGTGTGACGTCGCCGCCCCGCCCGCCGAGGGGCTAAAAGAATTCAGTATTTCGCTTTGCGCGCTCGCGCGCATTGGGGACTACTCTTTACCAGAGGCCCTAGGCTAACCTCTCGTAGCCTCTGCAAACCAACAACACACATTGAGTACATTTGCGACACCAGCGCCAACCAATAATCAAAAGAATTCAATTAATTAGAATCATATTTGAGGATTGAGGGTATTATACAAAAATATTAACGTTTTTTTTTTTTTGGTTTATGTTTTCGTGGTCTGTTTCTGTTTGGTAAATTTTAGTGTAGGAATAGAATACTCACTTGTTTGAGTTCAATTGGCGTATGTGCGTGAAGACATTGATCACGTGCCGGGCGACGCGTGAAGCTTCTTCGATTTTGGACGCGAGGCACACGCACGCCATCGCCGTCACCTCCACCGGGTGGCGGACAATGCTCCTGGAATAGTAAAAGCGCTGCAGGAGGACTTGTCCAGTCGCCATTGCAACCTAAAAACAAACAAATATTAATCTCCACCAAAAAAACTTCTAGAATAAAACAATACCTGAGGTAGTCTGAGTAAAATGCCCGCAGTTTGAATCAATTCACATCCGTAGATGCGTAGGTCCGTCTCGGTGTCAGCGTCCAGGCCATCCAGCTGCGACGGCGTGGTGGCAAGCTTCTCCTCGGGCAGCAGTAGATTGTTGAGCGTGAGCACGATTTGCCCGTACGCCTTGCCGCCGTTCTTCGCTGCCGTCGCCGCCGGAGTGGTCTGCACGCCGTCCACCTTTGTAGAGCCCATTGCGTCGCCTTCGTTCGCAACACTCTCCGCACAACGCTTTGTGTGTTTATGTAACACGCTTCTTTTAATATTCGTACATTTTGCAAGCAGCGTGTTTGGCTATGCGTTGTGTTGCGTTGCAAATACGTTGAAGAATGATGCGATTTTCAAAATGGCGATGACAAGGTGCGCGCAAACGCCAGTCATTCAACGCAGGCAACTTGTATTACACCAATTGCACAATTTAGTTAATAATTAGCAATAAACAAAGTATTTATACATAAATATAAGATAAATTTAACTACAATATTGTTATTTTTACTAATTTTAAGTTAAAATTTGTTTAAAACGCTAAAATTGATTTAAAATAAATTAAAGTTTATACTATTAGCCACACAGCGCCCCCTAGCGGTAAATTTTAACATCTCTAGTTGTCAACCACTACACCACAAGCAAATTACAAACTTTTTTTGCTTTTAATTACTAATTTTCTACGATTATAATCATTTAATTAACCAAACAACACACACACAGAGAGATATTGTCAAAGCAATCGGTCCTTTAATGTGCTTTCATTTTAGCCCTCCGCCACACAATTTCCGCGTTCAGTGTACTTGTACTGCTCGTGCCGCTAACAAACGTTACTAATTAATTAATAGCTCATCAAGTCACAACAAATCATCGTCTAAGGCCACCGCATCATAAACTTGTGTGTGGTTCGTGTATAGTGTGTGTTTGTGTGGACATTTATAAATAACATTTACAAGTACACATCATAAGTAAAGTATTTCTAACGTAACATATTCTGTTTTTTTTTTAGATTTTCAGCTGGTTCATTCTCATTTGTAAAACGTACGAAAATTATCAATTAATTGTAACATAATCAACATATACAACTAGGTGCTGTGGGTTTAGAGCAGCTTTTGAATGGCGGCGGTCAGTTTATCGACGTTGGCGCCGCTGAACTGGTCGACGACCTCCTTGGCCTTGATGAAGAGGAACGTCGGCATCGACGCAATGTTGTAGTCCTGCGCGAGGTCTTCGCATTCATCAACATCCACCTAAAAAAAAAAACAATAAACAAACATTATTCAATATTTTGATGTATATTGGGTTGCATATAGTAAAGTGGTGGATTTAAATATGGCGCACCTTCAACACGATGATGTTCGGATTGGTCGTGGCCATCTCTTCGAGTTTCGGAGCGATCATCTTGCAGGGACCGCACCACGTGGCGAAGAAATCGACAACGACGAGTTTATCGCCAGCGCTGGCCAGTTTATCATCGAAGTCTTCCTGAAAATCGAACACAATCATCATAATGACACAACGCATAAATTTTTAAGTGTGAAACACTCCAATTAATTGCTGTATGCTGGGTTGCCTATGTGACGCGGCGTGGAAACATTGATAAAATCGCGAAATATTGAATTATGTGATTGTTGGAATGGCAGAAACGTGGGAAGTCGACCTTGGTGGGCGACGCAATGCGCATTACGAGCATTATTTCCCAACTCCTAAGGCAATGCTAATAACTAAACCGTGTTGCACTGTCAGCCTGCTATCAAATTATCAGTAGACAAACTGATATCGTCTGTAACCGCCTGCGGCACTTCGATAACACACGAATCATGCATGTTCATTCTCGAATTTTTCCGTTATGATGAATCAAAATCCTTTCACAATGCGTCAGCTATGACTCGCAGGCGTTATTCACAGCAACGCGTTCTTTCAAGGTTACGTTGCAGGTTAGCGGCACACACGGCCGCCCCGCATTTGTTGAATAGTTATCGATTTTATGCGCCGCCGCGTGATTAGAAAAACCAAGATGGCGAGCGCAAACAAAACGCGCGTGCGACGGCGGCGGCGGCGTGTTTGAATTTGGCGTGCGTGAATGCAACACTCACTTTGTCTTTGATGTGGATCGACATGTCTGCGGCTGTGGTCTTGGCGTACCGGAAGTGCGAGCGTGAGGCGGTGTGGCGGTGCGCAGGTATTACGTGTGCACACGAAGGCTTCGAGATGTCGACTGGCGCGGCGTTGTGCCGCTTAAATTCAAGCGTATTTATATAACCGACGCGCGCGCATGCGTGTTGTAGTGCTTGCAACGACAACCAGCGGCATGAAATTGTTCGTTTCGAACGAAAAGAATTGTGCAAAGAGAATGCCAAGCTATGAGGAATGATGCAATCGATGTCAATAAATAAATTAACAGCGTAAATTATTTAAATGTTGCAAATTGTTAGTGGCTTGTGTTTTGGAAGTGAATTGTGTGTTGCCTACGGTTGAATTTTAGCAATATTTTGTTTTTGTTACTTTAACAGCGTATAACTTTGTTAATATTAATGATAATTAAACTCTGTTTGAAGCAAAACACGCAGAATTTAATTGTTTATCAATTTACTTTTTGAAAAATCAAAATATTTTGATATTTGATATGTAAAAAAGCAAAAATATCAAAAAATTAAAATTTTGTACTTATTTTTATATAACCTGAACTTTAAAAGCTTGTAACTTTGTTAATAATAATGATAATTAAATTCTGTTTGAAGCAAAACACGCAGAATTTAATTATTTATCAACTTACTTTTTGAAAAATCAAAATATTTTAATATTTGATGTGTAAAAAAGCAAAAATATCAAAGAAATAAAATTTTGTACTTATTTTATATAAACTCAACTTTAAAAGCTTGTAACTTTGTTAATAATCATTAAAATTAAAAACTGTTTGAACTAAAATACGCAGAATTTAATCCTCTTTCAGATTATGTTTAAAAAATCTCAAAATATTTCAATACTTTCTTCCCAAACAACAAAAATGTAACAAAAATCAATCTAATGATCAAAATTTCAACTCCTAACATTATCACTTAATAACTCTCTTAATAATTATCAAAATTACCAAACATACATTGCAAAACACGTGAAATTTAATCATCTTCCATGAAACACTTAAAAATTTTCAAATACCTCAACACTCCCGCTGTTATTAATCAAAAACCAAACAAGCAACACACCTGCCGCGTCTAAATATTGACTCAACCGGCGCAAGATAAGAAAAAAACACATACACGCCGCAAATAATTTCCTAAAAACATTATTGATATTGATCCGGAGAAATTTAATTCCGAGTCAATATTTAACACACACACACATACGCCGCCAGTAAACAAATTAATCTGAGAGCGATGCATGCTGATGATAAAACAACGAGTATTCATACCGGTGCGCCGGTTATCGATTTTCCGGCGGCAGTGGCAGCGGAGGCGGTCAAGGCGGCGCCAGTGCCGCCGCCGGCAGCCGCAGTCGGAAGATGGACGGCGGGCTGTCACGTGTCGCCCGCATCGCCGACGAGGCGGACGCCGGCCTCGAGTATCACATCAAGTTCCCCACGTCCAAGTACAATGACTACGTCTTCGTGGTGGACGAGGACCGGCTGCCGGTGGTGTTGCTCTTCGGCTGGGCGGGTTGCCAGGATAAATATCTCGCCAAGTATTCGAGGATCTACGAGGAGCGAGGGTGAGCGCAGTATTTGCACGGTGATTCAATTATTGATGCGTTCGTATCGATTTTGCGGATGTTTTGGTTGCGTGGGTGTGTGTGCGTTGGTAACGGCGGCGGATTGTTGTTGGTTGGAGGTGTTTTGTTGTAATAATAGCGGTGGACACTTGTCTGCAGCGGCTATAAATAGATTCGTGATGGAAATCGATGTGCAAGTTGAAAGTTTCATTAAGTTGGCACCCAGTGAGTTTAATAGGTCGTTACTGTGAAAGTACAGGGTTGGAATTAATTTTGTTTAGTGGAGAATGTAGGTGATTATGTCCGGAATTATAGTAGAGTTTGATTTTTACATTGGTAGATTAAATTCGTTAAAAATTTAATGAAAAATTAAGAAAATTTGGGAAAAAATTTGATTTTTTTGTTGTGTTAACTTTAACACTCTGTATCTCTGTTGATATTCGCTTAAATTTTATTTTGTTTTTACAAGTTTGTTAGGAATTTAATTCTTTATCATAATATTTTTAAAATTATGAAATATCATTAAAACTTTGGGAGTTATTAACAAAAAACTAAAATAAAACATTTTTTTACACCAAAAAAATTGTTTGAACTTTAACTTCTTGTATTTTTGTAAATATTCATCAAAATTGAATTATTTTTTTACTAAACCGTCGATAATTTATCTCTTTATTATAATCAGTTTAAATACTTCGAAAAGTATTACCGAATATTTTGTTATAAGCAAAAGTGTGTCATATTTCATTGGCGAAAGTGTAAAAATTATTTTTACACACAAAATTCATTATAACTTCTAAAGTATTTATCTAAATTTAAAATTCTGTTCACTAAAATATCCGCAATTTAATTCTTTATAACCTTGCTTTTTGAATTTTGGAAAATTATTAATATTTACCTAGTTATTTAACAAAAACATTGAGTTTACGCGCAACTTCGCTCTGTATTAAGCAGTATTTAACCTAGGCAACCAGTCTAGCAGCTTATACGCTTACCCTTCACCAACATTAGAAATTAATGTTTTTTCTCTTTTAAATACAGATTAATCACCCTACGTTACATAGTCCCTATAAAATACCTGTTATGGAAGCGTTACCATGTGATCCGCATCGGACAGAAACTAGTCAAGCTCCTCTACGACCTCAACTTCGACGGCCACCCTATAATCGTCCACTGCTTCTCCAATGGCGGCGCATTTCTCTACCAGAACTTCTCCATGGCGTTAGAAAACACTCCTAAACAAATACAAGTATGTAACATCACAATATGGCGGAGTTGACATAAAAAAAACTTAACCTTACCTTGTTATATGATGTTTTCTAGGTTAAAGGCGTCATTTTCGATTCGAGCCCCGGCCGCCGCCGCATGTTGAGTCTCTACAAAGCAATCTCGGCCATCTTGGGTGGCAACTGTCTGTACAACACGACGATGTCGTTCCTCTTCACGTTCTTCTGCTCGATGATCTGGCTGTGGGAGGTCGCGCAGAAATACATCGGCGGTGCGGAGCGCGACCTGGTGGCTGATCCCTTCGATCGTCTTCGCACTGAACCGCACGCATGGCCACAGCATTTCATATACTCCGAGGCGGATGATCTCATATCGCACAAGGTAGGCAACACACAATACACCAAAATGCAATACTTACTTTTATTTGGCGGACTGTTGTGTTTGTAGGACGTGGAAACTTTCATCCGGCATCGTGAGAGTATCGGGATACGTGTGAGCGCACTGCGGTACAAATCCAGTCCGCACGTGAAGCACCTCAGCCATCACAAGGAGAGCTACGAAGCGAGCGTGCTCGCGTTCGCGAACGAATGTCTACGTGACGCCGACATGAACGACGAAGTACGCCTGGCGCCCCCTAGCGACGGCGCAACGTAATCAATTATTGAAACTGTTTCTTGTTACTATAGTGATATAAATATTAAACGTACACAAAATACTAAACTAAACAAAATAAAAAATCGGGCGGAGCTTAAACATTTACAACCCACGTGCGTTTGTTTCATTTAATACATTTTACCCCAACTAAAAAAATTATATGATATATAATGTGTAATTTTGGTTGCCTACCTTAATTGTGTAAGTATCAAGGTTAATGGATCAACAAATTTATTTGTTTTAGTTAAATCGAGCGTAATTCAAACATTAATTAATCCGATTTAATGACGGGGAGTTTACTAGCATCAATGGTAAACTGCTTGGGTTGTTCAGTAGTCGAGGAAGAGTCATCCTTGCCCATTTCCGCCAAAATATCCGCAAACTCACTCTTATTATCAGCATTGTCATTATTTTCTGCAGCTGTAGTTGCTGCAGCTGTTGTTGGTGGCGCTGATGTCGTTGTGCTTGTCGTCGCCGTAGTAGTAGTAGATTTACTCTTACTCGGACGTTTCACACTCCTATAATTACCGTTCATAGAGGGCGGTGGTGGTTTATTATAGTCCATCTTAGGAAAACCTTTCCTTGTCACTTTCTGCTTTTTAATTTTCGCAGGTTTCTCCACAGCGCAGCCTTTGTCATCATCTTCAACATCCCCACAATCATCACCATCATCTTCAGTAAGAATCTTCCTTGTAATCAGCGGAACAGATGCATCGTCTTCTTCTTCATCTTCACCGGCATCAATCGCAACAGGAATAGGTTGAGTAATCGAACCGATCGAAGCTAACCTTGAACCCGGTGACGTGTCCATCTCAGTGATCGACGCATTGATTGCATCTACAGTTGCCTGTAAGTGACCCAACCTATACAATATAATCGTGAGTAAGTCTTTCATCTGCGGATCTGTTGTAGGGGGCGCTGTGTAACGCGGATAGTTTCTCCTTGGCAAACGTGTATAACGGGCTGCATATGGAATATTATCTAACAACAGACACAGTTTATATTGAAGTTTAAAGCGTAACATGGGTAATACTTACTGTATCCGCGTTGAATCAACGTAGAGGGCGCTTGGGATATGCGCAGTGGCTGCCATCGTTGAAAAATCCGCTCGGAGTCAACCAGCACCAGCACAGTGAGTAACAATATCGATGCGAGGGTAGTCGCGGCCATTTTGCGTTGTGTGTGCGAGATTGCACGAAGCTGTAGCTCAACTATCGTCCGCGCACAGCATCTCCGGTCCACATCCGTTCTTCACCCACGTACATGTCAGACTGTGAAATTTATTATTGGGCGCGCAGTAAAAATCGCAATTAAATTTTAATCGCCATCGGCCACGCCAGAAACCCAGCAATTGATTATTCATCCTCGGTGGTTACGAGTATTAATAAACATATTCCAACTATGTCAATTTCCTAAGTGGATAAGATATTAATTCGCGCGTGATGCAGTTTAGTACAATTTAGTGGATAATTAATGAATTGATTAATAATTGTTTGTGTCTTAATAGACGCGTAGAAATTATTGGTAGATATTGGTTGCTAGAGCGTGGTAATTATTAATATATAAGTTAATTGTTTTTTTTTAATCAGCGCCTGTAAATATGAATATTTATTGTCGCTTTGTTTGCGCGCGGCGTGAAAATGCGCGGGCGTTAATCGATGTCGAGTTTTTTGAATGTGCCCTCGACGCCGAATAAGTCGCCGGCGTTTTTCGGCTTGCCGGGGCGCTGGGATTCGTCGACGCGTTTTTTTTCTTCGGAGGAGAAAAAGGCGGTGTTTGATTCGAGGCGTTTTCTTTGATTGGCTGAAAAAAGAGAAGAATATAAGAATTAAAATGCAAATAATTTCTTTGCTAAAATTGATAGGAAAATAAAATTGGTGTTAGGTTATTAAGAATTTAATTGTGGATTTAATACAAAAAGAAATTTTGAAATATTTTGAATAGTTTTTGAGTTATTTGAGAAAAACCGTGGAAAATCAGTCAAAACTAATTGATAAGTTAATCAAAACTTTAAATGCTCATAACTTTTTTGTTTTTTAGGTTAAAACGTTCAAAACTATATCAAAACATGCAGAATTTAAGTCTTTACTAAAATATCTATTAAAACTTCATTGAATTTTACTGGATAATTGTTTAATTTTAGTTTTTATGAAAAAAAATTGTCTTTCTTAACCTCAAAACACAAAAATGCGCATAACTTTTTTGTTTTTTAGGTTAAAACGATCAAAATACCATCAAAACATACAGAATTTAATCCTTTACTAACATTCATACTTAAACATACCAAAATGTTATTGTATATTTGTTTAAATTCAGTTTTTACTAAAAAAAATTATCGTTTTTTACCTGAAATTACCAAAATGCTCATAACTTTTTTGTTTTTTGACTTAAATCGTTCAAAATACTATCAAAATATGCAGAATTTAATACTTTACCTATATATCTACCCAAACATAACAAAATTTTATCATAAAATTGTTTAATAACAATTTTTACTAAAAATTCATCAATGAAAACTTTAATCGCTCATAACTTTTTAGTTTTTTAAGTTAGAACATTGAAAATACCATGAAAAGACGCAGAATATAATCCTCTACCAACATTTATAAATAACCACAACAAAGTTTTGCAATATAATGGTTAAATTTCACTTTTTCCTTCAAAAATTCTTCTTTTCACCATTACCTAACCCCAAAAACCCAAAATTCCCTAAATTTCTCACCAAAAATATCCGCTAGAGGGCCGCCATCACCCCCACACTCCTTGGGCAAACAATCCTTGGGAATATGCTTAAATATTGTCTCATTACTCCCGTAATGCACATATAACTGCTCCTGCAGTTCTTTCTTCATGAACGGTTTCACTAATCCGAGTATTTTGTCCATGAATGACACTCCGTTGACGTAATGAAAGCCTTTGAGTCGGAAGGGCAGCGCATCTTGCAGATAATACAGGTATTTCTTAACAGATATGACGCCTGTCTTCAATATGTGCATTAAAGTGGTCCCTTCGACGTCCACGATGATAACATGGCCGTCATAACAGCCGAATTCATGCAGTTGCAGAGATGCAATCATGTCAAACACTTTGATTGCAGCGTTGAAGTTGTAGAAGTCGGGGTTTGTGTTGTTGAGACGGGCGTAGAAGATAATTTCATTTTTTGGGGTTGTTTTTGGTAATACGCAGATAGATCTAAGTGAAAAAGTAGTAAAAATTAATAAAATAATAAGAAATAGACTAAAATTTTATGTTTTTTAGTAATATTTGGATATTTAACAATAATATAATAATAAAATTAATATGCAATTATAAAGGATTTAATTGTGAACTTAATGCAAAAAACATATTTGAAATATCTTGATTAGTTTTTGAGTTATTTAGGAAAAACTATGGAAAATCACTCAATCATTTCATCAATCAAAATTTCAAACGCTCATAACTTTTTTGTTTTTACGATTACAACAGTTAAAATACTATCAAAATATGCAGAATTTTATTCTTTTCCATGCTATCTACTCAAACATAATTATATTTTGCGGTATAAACGTTTAATTTAAGTTTTAACTAAAAATGATGATGTTTTAACCTCAAAACACAAAAATGCTCATAACTTTTTTGTTTTTTGAACTATAACTTTCAAAATAGCATCAAAACATGCAGAATTTAATGCTTTACCAGAATATCTAACCAAACATAACAAAATTTAATTCTAAAACTGTCAAATTACAATTTTTACTAAAAAATGTGTCAATCATAACTTTAAACACTCTTAACTTTTTTGGTTTTCAAGTTAAAACATTGAAAATACCATCAAATCATTCAGAATTTAATGCTTTACCTAAATATATACTCAAACATTACTAAATATATTGGTATAATTGTTTAATTTTAACGTTTACTAAAAATGTCACTCTTTTAACCTCAAAATACAAAAATGCTCATAACTTTTTTGTTTTTCGGACTAAAACATTGAAATAACCAGCAAAACATGAAAAATTTAATCCTTTACCTAAATATATACCTGCATGTTACTAAATTTTATTGTATAATTGCTTAAATTTGGTTTTTAATATAAAAAACTCGTTTTTAACCTCAAATTAGTGAAATGCTCATAACTTTTTTGTTTTTTTGACTAAAACCTTCAAAATTACATCAAAACATGCAGAATTTAATGCTTTACCAGAATATCTAACTGAGCATAACAAAATTTTATTCTAAAACTGTCAAATTACAAGTTTTACTAAAAAATGTGTCAATCAAAACTTTAAACGCTCATAACTTTTTTGTTTTTCAAGTTATAACGTTCAAAATACCAGCAAAATATGCAAAATTTAATGCCTTACCTAAATATATACTAAATTTTATTGTATAATTGCTTAAATTTGGTTTTTAATATAAAAAACATCGTTTTTAACCTCAAATTAGTGAACTGCTCATAACTTTTTTGTTTTTCAAGTTATAACCTTCAAAATATCACCAAAATATGCAGAATTTAATGCTTTACCAAAATATATACCTAAACATAACCAAATCTCATGGTATAATTGCTTAAATTCAATTTTTAACTAAAAATATCACTGAACATAACCTCAAAACCCTCAACCCATGCAAAATACGCCCAAAACGCTCATAATGTTTATGTTTTCCCATTAAAATCATTAAAAATATGAAAACCCACTCAGATTCACTCAATAAAAATGAAAATAAACAAAAACAACATCCACATAAATACCCAATGTGATTATTTTTATAAACCAATATTCATATTATGTTGTTCCCATGAACAACGTGTTACCTCCACACCCCACGCACCGCTTTTTCCTGCGCAATTTTCCACGCACCATAAACATTTACAATCGGCCATCAAGCATGACGGCAGTGGACGCAGTGATAAACTGAATGCAACTCACACAGCGTCCAAGATCGCCTGGATCTCCCTCGATTCCGGGTTGCAATTCGCAAAGAACTCCGGACAATGCGTGCGACACGTGTAATGATTATCAATACACTCTTTCGCCGCTTGATTACTGCCGTAGCAGCTGTGCAGGAACAACGCCGCTTCCAATTCGCTGAGTTTCGGTAAATGTGGTTGCATACATGTCCATTCCAGCAGGGATAACACATCGGCTTTCTTCAGACTTGAATTACACTTGTACTGATCTTCTACATCAGCGTATTTTAACATTTTGAGATGAATTTTATGTTTTTGTTGAGTTGTAGCTTGGTTGTTGTGTGTTTGACGGATGATTTAGTAACTAAAACAGAATTTTCGTGTGTCGAATGTTTTATGTCTGCAAATGGCCGCCTCAAGGTGATTCCTATGATGACCGACAGGTTTTTTTTTCGTGTTGCGTGTGTAGATGACTTTCGGTTCGAGTTTTTACTCTTCGCTTGCTTCTAACGGTGATTATTGCGTAATGTATACACGCACCGGCAATCAGTGCACTAATTACAGTTATACAATGTGAAATTATGTCAAAATTGTTTTGGTTTTACATAACAAGGTCGTGATTGGCATCTCGATGAGTTTTTGATTGCAAATTACCAATGCGGATGTAATCTTGTTGGTTGTAAAATGCGCTTATCATTTTCACGCTGTGTTTGCGCATGACATGCGCGGTTTTGTTTTGAAAAACGTGAAAAATTGTATGTGGTACGTGTTTTTTGAGTGTTGGATGTGAATCAATATGTTTTTGTTGGATTTTCATGGTGATAAATGTTGGTTTTATGCGGGTGGTTATCGTGAATGTGTATAGTGGGTTGCTGACATTTATTAACCTATTATTCAGATAGAATTTTTTGTTTTTTGTTGTTTTTTAGGTAAAAATGGAATTTTCTGATGTTATTTTGTGTTTTAACACTGGTTGCATGCTGTTTTCTTTCACAGTTTGTTTAAAAGTTGTGATTTTACAGTTTTGAGGCAATATTTATGCAGTTTTGCGTCGCTCATTCAATTATTTCATCAATCAAAACTTTAATCGCTCATAACTTTTTTGTTTTTTAGATTAAAACAATGAAAATACCATCAAAACATGCAAAATTTAATCCTTCTCTAAAATATATACCCAAACGTACCTAAATTTAATGGTAATTTCAATTTTACTAAAAATATCATCATTCTTAACCTCTAATCACAAAAATGCTTATAACTTTTTTGTTTTTTGCATTAAAACATTGAAAATACCATCAAAACATGCAGAATTTAATCCTTTACCAATATATGTACTTAAATGTTACTAAATTTTACTGTATAGTTGTTTAATTTAGGTGTTTACTAAAAATATCATAATTTGTAACCTCAAATCACTAAAATGCTCATAACTTTTTTGTTTTTCGGATTAAAACATTGAAATAACCAGCAAAACGTGCAAAATTTAATCCTTTACCTAAATGTATATCTAAAAACAACTAAATTTCATTGTATAATTGTTTAAATTCAGTTTTTACTAAGAATATCACCTATCTTAACCTCAAAACACTAAAACCTCCAAAATAGAATATTTCACGCAGTTTTTCAATGTTTTAGGTAGTTTTTGAGTAATTTAATAAAACCTGAGTATAATTACTCAATCATTGCATCAATCACAACTTTACACACTCATAACTTCCTTGTTTTTGCAATTAAAACGTTCAAAATCTTTCAAAATTAAACCAAAACTTAATTTTAAGATAATATTTTCAATTCTAAAGCTAATTGCGTGCTGTATGATAGTTTTCCTTGTACCAATCAACTGTTTCCTTCACAGCTTGTTGAAAAGGTGTGAATTTGAAGTCTGGACAATACTTTCGCAGTTTTCCATTGCTAGCAGTCTTCTTAAACTGTCCATCTGCTTTGGAAGTATCAAAAACCAACTCTCCTTGATACCCAAACGCGCTGGCGATTGTTTCAGCTGCGTTCTTGATTGTTATCTCATCCGATTCATCAACTAACACAACAAAACACATAAAATTACTAAAAATTTACTTATTTTGATTGAATTTTCGACTAATACCTGATAATATTATTGGATCTATCTCTTGATACTCTCTCAACACCCAAACAAACAATCTTGCTAGATCCTTGCTGTAAATAAACTGTCGCAGAGGTTTTCCTGATCCCATCACAGTGAAACTCTCGCCGCCATTTTGTATGGTGTTGTACATACGATGCATTAAACCAGGAATAACGTGTGAGGATTGCGGATTGAAGTTATCATGCGGGCCGAATATGTTGCAGGGTATCACTGCGGTGAATTGACAGCCGTGTTGTTCGTGATAAGCGCGATTTGCGACGTCTATCATGCGTTTCGCGTAGCTGTAACCAAAGTTACTCGGATGTGGAGGACCTAAATGCACCATTTCCTCAGTGATGGGATATGTTACTTTGTCGGGGAAGACACAGGTGGATAGGCATGATACTACTTTGGATACTTTACACTCGAAACTCGCTTGGAGGATGTTGTTATTCATGTCTAGATTGCTTTTCTGAAACAAATTGGTGAAAATTATTAAAACAATGTAAGTTATGATCGTTTTTTGTAAATTACTCAAAAACTATAAAAGATATAATGATAATTATTGTATGGTTTGTTCCCTATTAAATTTTACACCTAATAATGTAAAATATATAAAGTTTTATAGAATATTTTAAAAGTTATAAACGAAATTCAAAGCAAAGTGACATATGAGTATATGCGCCTTGCAAGTAGGCAACCAAAACTACAGCTTTTATAATACGAATAAAAATAGAGAAAATACTTACAAAAAAGTCCAAATTATGTGACATATTCTGAAACAAGCCACCAACCATTGCAGCAAGATGTATCACATGTGTAGGCTTGTGTTTTTGAAACAATTGCAGAGTTTCTTCATAATTACTGCAAAAATAATAACATCTAAACACAATTGGGTCACAATATTATAAGTTTTACCACAAATTTGCATCTTTACTGCTTAAAAACACCCATTTTTCACCTTCTACTGGATTGCTTTCAATTAATTCTCGTATGGCACTGCCAACAAGCCCACTGCCTCCCGTTACAAGCACAATCATCTTGGAAACTGCAAGAAATTTGTGTTTTTTAAGTGAAAGAAATGATTAAATTACTTTTAAGAGAATAATACTGACATATGGGAGTAGTATGGTAATAGAGGTTAATATATTATACTTCTATTTACATTATCTTATCATTTACCTGCGTATTTAATGAAAATTTAACTAATTGTTGAGTATTTATATAGAACAGCTGGTGGCCAATGTGTAGAATAAGCTGCCTACTTTCCGGCGTAAATTTTAATGCATATATATTGAGTAGAGGGCGCTACATGTACTAATTTACAAATAAATTAAATTTTTATTGTTTACAATTGAATTTTAAGTAAAACAACCACAAAAACAAGAAGAAAGTAACCCAATACATGTTCCACGCATGAATAATCACTCCGCAAGTAAAAATTTAATAAATTTATCGACATTTGCGCCATATTCATACACAGCATTCATTTGTTTCCTATAAACATCATTTCATACAGATTCTAGTACACATAGCAAACAAATTCACACATTAGACGACGCGTCGCACTTCAAAGAAGCGCTTCAAGTAGAAAACTTGTCCCATCGTCATCGCAATCAAGATCAACGCCTCGAAGAAACTCCACAGCACAACACGACTGTTTGTGCTCTCATTAATCGAACGGTGAATGCGATCTCGCACCTGCATGTATTCCTGTTCATGTTTAACGCTGGCGAGAGCACCGCTCAAGTCCCGGATCATATCTTCCAGTTTTGTTGCGCCTTCGCCCTCACCGCGCTGCTCATCGGCTTTGGGCGGCTCGCCGATCGCCATGTTGAACATGACGACTTTCGGCGTCATCGTCGACATGCGATTCGAGAAGCAATACGTGTAGATCCCAGGCACATGCGCAGCGAATGTGTATTTGCCGGAGGATTCACGCTCACCGTTGTAGACGACTTTGCCATCGGGATCGACGATCTTCACGTCGATGTCAAGGAAGCCACCTTCGGCTATTTCAAAAGTCAGACCTAGAAAATGATAAATCATTAGTAAAACATTATTATTTAGTGTTTTTCGGATGAATTTTACCCATTTTAGTACCGCTTTCGACTTTATCAAAGAAACACTCCTCTGCATGAGCATCCACAGTGATAAAATACGAATAAGAGGTGTTTACAAGCGCGCAGAGCACGAAACACGTCGTCAATACGTGCGTTAACATGTTTACTGTTATTCTAAATGATAATATTGTGTTATTTCGATGAGAAACGCGAATTATGAGTCGATTTTGTTCGAGTTGCTGACTGACTGTGATACAGCCACGTATTTAACCTCAAAATGTCTGTTGACGTCTACATGTCACAATAAACGCATGCAGCGCTCAACACCAAATACAAATTCATAAATTATCAACAAATTAAACAAAATAGAGTCAAATCATACGCAGACATCGATTAACAATTAAATTCTACGTGTAATTATAACAATATTTATAAATCCGCGTGAATTTTTACAGAATTATACCCAAATCAATGTCATACACTTAATTTAGCGATAACTATTTACAATAACAAGAAAAAAACAAAGCATATTCTTTAAAAGATGCAGAATTTAACTAAGGATATAAATTAATTGAATTCATTGCTATAGCTGGCAGCGTTTACGAGAAATTAGCAAAAAATGATCAAAATTAATGAATTTTCATGAAAATTAATTTAAATCTTAATTCTAAACTAATAAAACTTAGTTTAGGACTTTGTATGTATAATTTATAAATTTGTTATGCTATTAGATACTATTTAATTGTGTTTAGGCTGTTATGATTTTAGTTTTTTGCCTATATTGTCCAATTTCATTTTGCGCGTGCGTTTTATTCGTTTTCTGCTGCTGCTGCTCGATGCAGTCTCGAATGGATCGTCGGGATCCCGTGCAGCGATGACTTTCTGTCGAGCATCGTAGAATATTCGCTTCATTTCGGGGGAGAAGTCGGATTCGGCGTCGGCCAGAGCGTCGATGATTGATGTGCCTGAGTAGTTGCGGATGTGTGGGTCGGCGTTGTGATTGTTTAAGATGTTTACAATGTCAACTAGATAAGAAAAACATTAAAATTGATTAGATTAATATGATTAACAAGAAAATTTTAGTTTATTTGAGTTTGTTTTTGAGTTGTTGGAAAATTTTGAAGTTTTTTGGTCGTTTTTTGTTTATAAATGTTGAACTACTTAATATAATTCTTTGAAATTTGGTAGAGTTGTAGATAATATAAAGATTTATAAGTGGGAGAAAGAATTTTTGATTTATCATTGATAGTTTCTGAGTTATAACAAATTTTGTAAAAAAAAAGTGCGAAAATGTAACATTTTTTTTTAGTTTTTCGTGAATAAAAAGCAAACTAATTAATTTTTAGCAATAAATTAATCAATGCTGAATGCTGAAATCAATAGAGGAACTAAATATTTACACATAGCCACAAGAATTATCGATTTATCTCAAATAGTTTAAAAAATATAACGGAAAAACTAAAATTTGCAGTTTTTGCGCATTTTTTAAACAAATTTGTTAATAAAACTTGAATCAATCAACCTTGAAAATTGCAAGATTTATAAACAAATATATTATTAACCATCAGAACAAAGAAATTTTCATTTATCTTCATTACTTTTTAAATTATAACAAATTTTAAACCAAAAAACGCGTAAATCAACCATTTTCTAAAGTTTTCCTCGAATAAAAACTAAACTAATCAACACAAAACAATAAAACTTTAACAAAACAATAACCAATTCAATCTTCACATATTCCAACAAAAAATTTCAAATTATCTCAAATAGTTTACTAAATACACACAAAAAACCTAATCAACTCACCGTAATTATTCTCAATCGCATGATACAACGCCGTCCGCCCGGATTTCGAATCACAGCAATCAACATTCGCCTCCAACGCGATCAACTCCTCCACCTGCTTCTTTTTACCATGCATCGCGGCAAGATGCAGCGGTGAATAGCCCTCATTATTCGTCTTATTAACCAATCTACGATACGTGACATCATCGACCAATTCACGCACACTTGGTTGCAGCAATCTGCTCAGCGATTCACTCTCCACAGCGAAGTGCATCACAGTGTTGCCATCACTGTCTGCCTTACATATATCCGCATTGTATTTCAACAATGTACAAATGACGTCAATGGATGCGCTATGAATGACAGCAAAGTGTAATGGCGTCTGAAAATGTCAAAAATGTCAAAATTAAATTTCACACATGAAATAAACTTATAACTTACTTGATAATCTTCATTGACAACATCCACACCCATAAACATCAGTTTCAACGCGATACAATGCCGTTTCACCTCCGGTAAGTTATTCAGCACGACCTCACGATGTATCTGTCGATCTCCAGCGCCATTAATTTCCTCGCCGCACGATTTCATATACTGGGGCAATCGATGCACGCGAAACACACCTTTCGACTTAGGCGCAGGTTCGGCAACCCTATTCACACTATTATTCTCAATGGTTGGCACCACTTGTATCTGTGGCACAGGCAACTGCACACCCATATTGACATCTTGTATCAATTCATTCATATCACTTGATTGCTCAAGCATCTTGTCAGAAAACATGTGAGAAGTCATATCAACATCAATTTTCACATATAACAACTCCCAGAGTGTGGTTAATTGCGCATGGTATAGTTTTAAATCATCATTGGATGATATCTGTATTAATTCATACAATTTCGACGCTAAACTCCCCAAATCTTCAGGTATTTTCTCTTCGACAACCGGTTTTTCTTCTGGAATCTTCCAACTGGGTTTACAAAGCGTTTTCTGTGAATCCCGCAGGTTTATCTCAACATCCGCGAGGAATTTCATGTTTAAATACCGGATAATCTTCAATACTTCATCCATATTACTGTGCAAGCATTGATTCTCATCATTTTCTTTGATTTTCTCTTGACTTTCACTCAGCAAACACTCCAATTCTTTGATTTTCGCTTCTTGTGCATCACATTTGTGTCTTAACTTTGATAAATCATTCTCTAGGACTTTACACTTCTCAGAATAAACTTTTTTTGACTCCTGCCAATAATTACTGATGATTGTCAGCATTTCTTGAGTGAAAGTGACACCCTGCATACTGAATTCGTTAATAAGTCGACTTTTGAGCAGTAATTCCTGTGACATCTCCATGTTTGCAAAGGGTACATTCATTTTCTTCACTACTTTGATGTTGCTGATCTTGGTGATGGTTGGCGTAGCACTCGGAGTGGAAATGGACACCAATGGAGGTGTTTTTGGTTGTATCGCAGGTAAACTAGGCTTAAATGCTAGTAATGGTGGTGCTGGCAGTGTAACAACATTAGGTAAGGCTTTAGTTACAGTTAATATCGGTGTGAGTATTCTTGATTTAGTTTCGGATGATTGGACAACAATTGGGAGCGACTGTCCGGGATTTGCCATTCTAAAACATAATTCCACATTAAAAACACATAAAAATGTGAGATTTACTTATTACCACTTGATTGTGATTAGATTTATGATGTTATGTATGTTTTTTTGTTAATTTTTATTAATTTTGTGAAAATGTGTCTCTAACCTGTTCGTTTGTGCGTCCGTGCACGACTGATCCACTGATTTCTGTCGCTTAGTGCAGTAATTATATTTGTTTATCTTATCGCTGCGGTTGTGTCGATGAATTGCACTTGCACTGCGTGATGTTTGCGATGTTGGGTGAGTGTGTGCTTCCCCGGTGTGTATTGCGTGCTTATTCAGCGGGGAATCCCAGGATTTGCTTGAGTTAGTCTGGTAGAATGCGTAATGGTTAGTGGAATAATTACGTTAATATTGGTTTGTTTATAGGCTAGGGAAGTACGGAAAGCAGCGTGGTGCTTGATTATTTGACTATTTTAACTGTTTAAACAGCTGTAAGCGTTTTGTTTGCTCTCCTTGGCACAGTTAAATGTGATAATGCGGTGATGCACATTTCAACGTTGCCTGGTTGAAGTAGTTCCATGATTTGGCGTGGTTTTCGTGTATTTTGGGTTGCATAGGTTAAATGGTTAAACTGAGAATTAAAAAGTTTAAATTTTAAACCAATATATATCAAAAACAATAAAAATATTTGCGTTTTATTATATTTATTGTTATTATTTTATTTAATATGTGTTTATATTTTATAAAACATTTAAATTAAACATTAAAATTATTTGTATCTATGGTGTACCTTTGGTTGCCTATGTTAAACATCAAAATAAAAAACAAATTTTACGATTTTTTAAGTTTAAACAATGATAAACTTAATAAACATACCAATATCCCTTAAAAATCTTATTAAAATATTATTGTTTTGATTTTTTGTAACTTTTACGTTTTGATTTTTGTTTAATTTGCTTATTTTTCTTCAATTTACCAAATTTACTCTTTTTTTCAGCAAAAACCTTGTTTTTCTTCGCAAAACCTCTATTTTTCTCCAAAGAACGTTTAACTGGATGCTTAAAAACAGTTTTATCTAACTCCTGCGCATTCTCTTCGTCTTTTAACATTTGTTTATCTTGTTTCAAGCGTTCAGAGACGTATTTATCATCACCAACACTAAAATTTTCATCGTCAATCGGAAATTCTACTTTTGCTTTACTTTTAGACTTTGTTAAATGTTTATGCTTCTTATGACTGTGTGAATGGCGTTCTCTGACGTCTTTTGTATCATTCTTACTGTTAAGATTAATATTTGTACTGTTTTCATTCAAAATTGGTGAAAAAACTTCATTTTTAGGCGAAATATTATCAGTTTTAGTCCTGTTTTGACTCAAATTAGATGAATTCATTGGTTTTTCAGCGTTTAACATCGAAATCGCTGCGTTTGGAGCGTGTTGATGTTCGTGTTCATGTTTTAAATGGTCTTTAACAGGCCCGGAAGATGGCGCTGGTTGATTTTGTAGTTGTGATCGCAAAGCATTGGTAACTTCTTCAAAATTGCGTAACAAACGCTCAAACTCGTTGATTTTTTGATGTTTTTCATGCTTATCCTCTTGGTGGACATTATTACTACCTTCTGAAGGTGAAACAATGAATGGTTGTGTTTCATTTGTGGTTTTACTGCGTGAATTCACTGAATGTTGATTACGTTTGACTTTTTGGCTGTTTTCATGTGTTTCTTTGATATTTTTCGGTGTTTCAACACAGTATTCTGTGAAATATTGTGGTATATTGATGTCTCTTACAGCTCTGGATAGATTTGAGTCCTGATGACTTGAAGCAAACTCTTCTACAGCTTTCTGAAGACCGTAGGCGAAGGATTTCATTAGGACGCATGAAAATTTAGGTGTAGTTGCTTGAAATACGCAGAAAAAAACATGTTTAGCAATAAATAAACATGAATATTAGTTACTTACAAGATGGAGAATTTTGTTCTTTGTCTTCTTCATGAGGAAAACCATCAGGAACTTGTTTTATTTCTATAGAAATCACAAAAAGAAAATTAAATTAATTTTTGGGTTAAAAATGCGACAGAAGCGACATCTATGTAACTTTTTCGACAAAATAAATGAAATTATTTGTTTCATACCATTTGTGTTATGCCCAGAAGCTAAATTATTGTTTAATAACAACAAAACTGTTATTAAACAACAATAAACAACAAATTTCTTCATTTTAACACCTTTTTCACACTTATATTCACTTTTACTTCAATAAATACAATTTTAACACTTAGTAACACTTAATAACTGATTAAAACTTGATTTATTTACTTAATTAGTTGTTATTTATTGTAACTGTGTGTATTATTAATGTCTTTATGCAATTTTAGCTGCTTTTATATAGAAACTTGTGAGTTATTCATCGCAAAAATGAGCAACAATGCAATGTCACTTAAAACGAGGTTTAAAAATTAATTAGAGCATCAATGTGTGCCGGACTTAAAGTTTAGTTATCTACTAATCGGTGTAATTAATATTTGCGATGGCATTATATCACGATGACCTTTTTGCATTATCACAAATATTTTAAAACTTATTTACAGTTTACAGTTTAATAAAGCTAATGGCACGCTCATAAATGTTGTGCATTGCATTTTGAATGTCATATTAATTGATATAAGTAAATTGTAGGTATTTATGTCAAGAATAAAATAGAAAATTATAGATTTTTTTATTGGTTTTGTTGATTTTTTAGGTAAAAATTAAGGTTATGTATGTTTGGAGGTTGATTATGGTGTATTACTCATGCGCAATATAATAAAATATATATGGTTGGTTAGTGTATTTAATTATCTTTAAAATGATATATAATTTGTTAAAATTGAGTAAAGATAACCGAAGTTATGACGTTTTTATATTTAGTAAACATGTTTTTGAGTGTTTTTGTTTGTTTACTTTTTAGAACGTTGTGAAATAAAAACTATTAAAGTTAGAAGAATGATTAATATCTTAAAGTTTAGGGGATAAACGCAAGTTTCTTGTGTGTAGATGTCGCTAGTGTTGCATGTATAACCTCAGCGTAATCGCGGTTTGAAGATTAACAGTTTTCGTAATGAAGAACAAACTTTAAATCATTGTAACTTTTTATTGAATAATTTAATTTGATCAAATTCTTTTGCATCCTTTACACAATTTAATCCTCTTTAATTATATACAAAACTTTATGAGTTTTAATAAAAGGTTAATAAATAATTAACAAAAAACGAACAGAAACACAAAATTTAAATTTCACGCATAATTTTCAACAAATTTTACTCAATGACGCAGTTTATCATATTCACAATCAAAAATATGCATCTAGTTTTATATATCAGCATAAATTTGCAAGAATTATCTATGAATAAACTTAATTTATTCACGAAAACAGTTTCAACAGTTCAATTCAACCAAGAAACGAAGAAACAACTAAAAAATGAAGTTAATAGTATTTATTTTATTGGTAACAATGGTTACAGTGTCTAACGCACAACTCTTCGGCTGGATAGAATTTCTCCTTGGCACACAAGTACGTCCTCCACCCAATTCATCAAAACCAACAGAAAAACCGACTGATTTGGTGGTTCCAGGAGGAATAACAGAGACAGAAACAGATAATGGACAAGTTACTAATCCAGAACCTGTACCTGTACCTCCAGTGCAGATTAATTTCGCTATAAATGGACAAAATTACCAAGAAATTGCGTTGCAAAACTAGTATATGTTCATAATCAATTGTAATAATAATATTATGTCATAAAATAAAGTGTATGGGTGGTTGCTTAGTTATGATGTTCCTTTGGTTGCCTATATTACTTGTCACAAGGTGTGTTCGTGTTTGTTCGCTGTGTGAGTGACACGTATGATATGCGCATGCGCGTACCACGACGTCACGCTGTCAACCACACACAAGCACGCAGCGTATGAGTCAACAAGTAAAACGTACACACTTCTACTGCACCAAAACAACTCCACATTGTTTACATTGTTTAAATCATTCACAGTAAGTGTTTATCACAAGTATTCTTATTGATAACACCTCAAAACACGTTCAATGACAATTAGTGAACCAAAACAACCAGTCTACTTTGTATTTTCATTATAAACAGACAAAAACATAAACAAATAACACTTTCGATCACTAATTAACACTCATAATCCAATATTAATATGTTTGGTTACTTTTGATGTGCGCTTGGTTGCCTACGTAACATGTCACCAATTACATTTGTGTTGGTACGTCGCAACACACACAATATACGCATGCGTGTGCATGACTGTCACACCATCAACAACGCACACCCCATACTCACACACATCGCAGCGTGAAAACAGTTAGGTTAACTTACACACACTGCAACATCATCAGCACAACTCAGCATTTATTAAATCAACCACAGTAAGTACACATTTCTTATATATTTATATATTATTATGTATAACGCCTCAAGATACCTTCAACGAACACCATAGGCGCGTTACCAATCCGTACGCCAATCCCCGAAATCAAATCGGTTAAAATATCAATAAAACTCGTAAACAGCTCGGATTTCTGCACGTACGGCGCAAGCGGGCCAATCGGTGTAGTTATCAATCCGCTCACCAGTTGTATAATCGTGGCTGTCAGATTATTCACCAGCGTCCTCACCACAACATAATACGGATTGATCAGTGCGTTTAGCAAGTCATTGCCGGTATTCGCACGTCGCAGTTCGCTCCCCTCGATATCCTTTTGACTTTTTGACTTTGACAACGCCTGCGACCTCTCTGCTTTCACCCGGTTTTCTGCGGCTTGAACATAACCAACTACAGCGTTTCCTAGCGCTGTGAATCCAATATCAGGGGTTGTTTGTGATTCGGATTGTGTTTTGCATGGGAATGAAACAAATATGGCGATTGCCAGCACCACGCAAATCGGTAAAAACTTCATTTTTTGTTGATAATTTTATGTTTTCGCGTGGTTGGAATGAGGATTGTGTGGTAACTAAAGTGGATTGAGTGTTTTTATGACTTAAATAATTCCGCGCAGGTTTTCATTGAAACATTTTTGAAATTTATGCAAAAATGCGATTATTATAATTATCCGGCTTGTTTTTAATACTAGGATGTGGCGTAACGCTGGGAAATTTAAGGAAGTATTTGGTAATTACGTTAATTAACTTAAGTTGAAGGTATTTTATCTGAGAAATGTGTTTTGAGTACGTAAGAGTGGTATTTTTGTTGGGGAAAATAAGTTGATGGAAATTTGACGTCAGTTTGTGGGAACACCATGTAGGGAAATTTGATGAAAATTTGATGGTTGATAGAGAATTTAATTATCTTTTAGGATGTGAATAGAAAATTTATTTATTGTTGATAGTTTTTGTTTAAATCACAATTTAGTGAAAAAACACAAAAATTTAATCATTTTTGGTTTTTTGGCTTTAAAAATTAATAACGTTTATTTTTAATAAATAATTTTCTTTTTCTTTGGTTAATATCAAAGTATATTAAATTCTTTATCACGATGTAAAAGAATTATTTATTTATTGTTATAAACATGGCGGTAAATTTAGTTTAAAGAAAAAAAATTTGAAAAAAATGTAAAAAATTTATGCTTTTGTTTATACTTTTGCAAATAACATATAAACTAAATTATTTATCAACATTTTGTTTTTGCAATATAAAAGTCAATTAACCAATCTATCACTCCTGAAATTTTCATCAAATTTGAACGACAAATATGGCCGTTATTCACTTCTTAAAAATCATAACTATTTCATGTCAACCTTACGCAATCATGACTTAAGTCTAGCGAAACCAACTTCATTGGTCGTTCACACCTGGGAATCTTGCCAAAACTCAATAATTTTAACACCTTAAGGCGTAGTTTATTAAATTTAACTCGTAAAACATATAAAAATTAATATTAATTTACATAACCTCAAAATAACTCGAAATTTTCATCATTTTTACTTCATAAGTTTTTAAATAATTGCTTAGCAGCATAACCCATTAGCGTATCACTCAATTTCGCTTTTATCTGTGGATCAATGTTATTATTCGGATTCAAAACAAATCCAGCGGCCATATTGACCGCATCACCAGTCAAACGTGAAATGGCTGCGTTTCTTCCATTTTGATCGTGTAATATCACAGATTTTATCAATTTTCTTGTATGCTCCTTAGCCTCAAGTATATTTTTACTTCCAAAATCATTTGTGAGTTGTTTAATCAAATTATTTTCTAGAAAAAAACAAATTATAACCTTAAAATCTAAAAAAAAACGGATTAAAAATATAAAAATACCTTGTACAGCTAATATCTGGGTGAATATTGATGGTATTATTATTAATAATGTTATAATTATTAATATTTTATCGATTTTATTCATTTTTATTAGATTTTTAGTTGAATTAAACGAATTATAACAAAATACGCCCGTGAACTTGCACTAATTGCGTTCAATTGTCGTTTTCTGTGACGTTTACTTTGAATATTACGGTAATTGCTGGGCTATTGCATCGTACACATGATTGTTTTGCACTGATAAGAGTGCGATGTGTTATCTGTTGTTGTTAGGCAATTTTTAAACAATGCCAAGCGGTTAAAGTATGTAAAACTGTGATTGACGCGTTATTAATAAGAAAAATGTCGAAAAACGATGATAACTTAATTAGTATTATTAATAAATTGGTAGGGGTTTTACTGTTTGAAAATTTATTAAATTCTTTACAAAACTTAAAAAAAAATTCGTCACTTTACATTGTTTATAACTGCTTTTATTGATAGTTAAACTTTTGGTTACATTTTTAGTAACTTTGTTGTTTAAAGTCAATTTATGGGTACACCCTGTATTAGAAACGGCCAAAATTAGGTATGCAGTTATAAAAATTAATTGTCTTTCATGAATTAATTTGAATAAATTAGGTTTTTTCAAAGGAAAACGCAATTTAAGTCACAATATTTCATTATTTTTATTTTAAAGTCAATTTGCCGTTACACCCTATATTGAAACTTAATCAAAAGTTGTGAATAGATTAACAATTTAATTCTCTTCCTAAATTTGAAAACAAAATTTTGTTATCACCAATAGTTTATCAGTAAATTAAGTTTTTCCGAACAGAAACACGACTTAAGTCAAACATTTTTCAATATATCTGATTTAAACTCAATTTACTGCTACACCCTATATTAAATCATAACAAAAATGACTCCTCTAATCAAAAATTTAATCCTCTTTCAAATTATGAAAGCAAAATTCTGTTATCACTAAAAGTTTATCCGTAAATCACGATTTTCTAAACAAAAACACAAATTAAGTCACATATGCGCCCAATACTTTAACCATTAGACAACATTAGACAAATACGAAAACAGAAAACACTAGCAGTCACTTGATGAGATGGTGAGAACACTAGTCTGGCGACGAATGGGACTTAAGTCGCATCTTCCTGCCCCCTCTCCATTCTTCGTCCCGAAATTCGTGCGTCAGCACACACATTTCACACGCGCCGATTTCGAGTTATTCCCATCCCCAAAGCAAACGCACTTCACCTCTACACCTCTGCACTTCTTCACGTCACAGCACATCTTCACCTCCTCACCAATCACTCAACACCAAATTACAAACTAATTAATTAGTGCCAGCAAGTGACTTAAGTGTTTTCTCTAAATTAAAATAAAAAAAAAATAAAAAAATAAAAAAGTGTGTGAATATGTTTGATTATCGTTATCACAAACACGATACGGGATACGCAAGCGCAGAAACCGAAAGCTCTCTTGGAAGTATAGACACCGATGATGATGATTTCGAAGAAACAACCGCGAAAACCAAATCACGAAAGAGTTTGCATCAAAAGAATAAGAAAATTCGGCGTGAAAAGGATGAAATTCAGCATATTGGTGACGTAACGCATGATTTACACGGTTTAGGTGGGAATATTCATGGGGATGATCATCATGCGCATCCTTTGGGGGGTGGTGGGGGTGGTAATAATCCGCGGAGGTGTTTAACGTGGGCGTGTAAGGCGTGCAAGAAGAAGACCGTGTCGGTTGACCGACGGAAAGCAGCGACTATGCGTGAGAGACGACGGCTGAGAAAAGTAATTGTTTAATAAATCATAACATAATTAAGATAAATTAAATTTGTTCAAAGATTTAGAAAGAGGATTAAATTGTTTATTAGTGGGGAAAGTTTGGTTAGGTTTTTGTATAAAGTGGAGGGGTAAATTGAGTTTGAAAATTTGTTTTTTTGATATTTATTTGAATTTTTTGTTTTGTGGATAGAAATTTGTTTATAACTCGGAAAGTATTTGTTATAAACAAATTTTGTCGACGCATATTAAAAGTTAGTTAAATTTTCTAATGATTGATATTTTTTCATTAAGATTGTGTATAGGGTATTGCCGTAAATTTACTTTTATTAGAAAACTATAAAATTATAGTTAATTTTTGCAATATTACACAAAATTTTAAATTACTTAAAAACTATTTATTTTATCCGAATATTGTTTTTAAAAGAAGAAAGTATATTAAATTTTCGATGTGATTTCTTATTTTTACTTGTCTATAATTAAAATTGAAGCTGTTATTCATTTCTAAACTTGGTATTTCTTTTTGTTTGCAGGTAAATGAAGCTTTCGAGTTGTTAAAACGCCGCACATGCAACAACCCAGGCCAAAGACTGCCAAAGGTCGAGATTCTGCGCAGTGCAATCGAATACATCGAATATCTGGTTGAGATTCTACAAGGATCCAAGATGGCCGCCGCTGGTAACACCGATGCGAACGGAATAAATCACTCGCATCAATATATTATGGTAAGTGGACAAAATTTATTAGCTAAAGGGTTAATACCGGTATTAATTCTGGTATACCGATAGTTTTTTATTATTAATGAATATTGACGGTTTCTGTTTAAAAATGGCTTTAAATTAATTTTGAAATTTTTAATTTAAATTGCTGCCATTTAGGTTTAAAAAAATACCGGTATATCGGTAATACCGGTATTGACCTCAAAATTTACATCTCCATTAACCGTTGCTAGGGGCAACCTTCTTTCTCCCGGTGCAAATTCACAGTGACAAGTTAATAGCGCCCGGCGTTAACAGGCATCCCTCGCGTGTGTTTCGTGTACCTACTCGTATTTTCTTCTTCCTCCTGTCTTCTCTTGGAGCAGCAGTTTAAGGTGTCTGTTTTCGCGTTATAAGCATAAAAGCACCTTTAGTGCCCGTGTGCCCGTGCAAGACGTGCGCGGGTAAAAGTCGTGCCGAGTCATGATGCATGATGCATGAGCGGCGGCGCGTGCCGCTCACCATGCGCTGACAGACACCTGTCAAGCTTCGACATTAAATAAACATTATTCATTGCAGCCGCGTGGGCTGTTTGGTAGCCGGTATCAGGAGGGTCTTTTGACTTTCAATTTCACACCGTTCACAGGCTGTAAATCAGTAATTAATTCATTAGAGTCAGGAAAGGTTGTGAAAAATGGTGATTAAATTGATTTAGAAGGGAATTGAAACACTCTGTATAATTTTGGGGTAGGGGAAGGAATAGAGGAGTTAATTAGGTTTAGTTTGATGTGTGATTTGTTGTTATCATATTGAAATTAGAGGTGTTATCATAAAAATAAAATTGGAAAGTTTTTAATGTGAAAAATTATAATTTTTTGGTTTTTCTTAATTTACGTAATAATTAATAAAGATACAAACATGATTTATACATCAAATTAAAGCCAATTAAATTATCTATCAATAATTATTATTAAATTATGTTAAAATGTTGTTTCTTGATAGTTATTCAACAAAACAAAACAAAAAACAAAAAAAAATTAAACAGTATTTTCATAAACAAACTTTAAACTTAATTTAAACAACTTTACAACAATATTTCAAAACTTTTCAATAGCCAATCCAATAGTAAATTTAATTACCTTTCAAATAAGCTTTAATTTATTTATACAGAGTGTTTACTGAAGTCATAAAACTAAAAAAACTCAAAAATTTCCTCAAAATACAATTTAAATTTAAATTGCTGCCATTGGCGAAATTCAGCAATACACGTACTTGTGTAAGCCGGAGGCCGGTTATGTTTGGACAAGAGACATCTTTCATCGTCGTTAAAATAGCATCTCATTAATTTCACTCGGCAGTCGGCGACTTTAGTGCTTCGCGGCGATCGCTTCAACTCTAGTTTTATGTCCAACAGATCGCAACGAGATGAAATTCATTGCGATGCAAGTGTCGCGCGCGTCTTAAATAGCTTCGCGGCAAGTGTAAATTTACTACTAAATTATACGCATTCAAAAGATTTCATTACACAGCAGGAGAAAAAAAAACATAGTGGGAAAGGGTTGGTTAGGTTTTTGTACGAAGTGTCACGGTAAATTGACATTAAAAATTAGTTTTTTTAGAAATTTATTTGGAAATTGAGTAGAAAATTGATAATAACTTAAAAAGTATTTGTTATAAACAATTTAGTTTTTCAGTAAATGAAAGATTATTAAATTTTGGTTATGTTTACCAAGTTTTATTAAAATTAAATGAAAATTGTAGTAATTATTGATGTTTAAAGTATATAGAAGTTATTGTAAAAAAATTCAAAAAAATTTAAAGTTTTGCAAATTATTTAATAACTCGGAAACTATTTAATATAAACAAATTTTGTTGACATATATTGAAAGCCAGTTAAATTCTCTATCAATATTTATTTATATAATAAAGATTATGTACAGGGTGTTGCCGTAAATTCATTTTGAATCGTAAATTATAAAAATATAGTTAATTTTTGCAAAATCACACAAAATCTCAAATAATTTAAAAACTATTCATTTTAACAAAATTTTTCTTTTGGAATACAAAAGTTTATTAAATTATCCATAAGTTTTGCAATTTTCATTTATCTGGTGCAAAAATTGTAGCTGTAATTCAACTTTAAACTTTTTATTTAATTCTGATAAAAATTTAAACCTTAAGCATCCAACAATACACATAAAACACATTATAAACCCAGTAGCACACAAAAACAAAGCAAAAACATAGGTTAGGAATGTTAATGTTGCTTTCGCAGTTGTGAATTTGCATATTTATCACTCGACAGGTTGAGCCTGCGCAGACCGCCCACGCGTTCGCCATACTCTCGCAATGCGACAGGTTTATTACGGTTTTGGTTACTTTTTAATGAAATTGTCAAATAGTTTTGCTGTTTTTTTTTTTGCTTGTGCATCTCTCTAGTCTCTAGAAGTATCTAAACGTCTCGAAGCACCGAAATAGAGTGAGTAGTCAGTAGTAAAAATGTAATTTTATGCGCGCGGCGTGTGCGTGCATATGTTTCAAAATAAATTCGAGGCGCGCTTTTTATTTTATTTGCTCTCTTTCTCCACCGAGCAGTAGATGCGCGCGGTGTATTTATAATGGGACGCCTATATGTTCGCTTTAATCAAAATCGTGTCGCGTGTCGTCTCGTGTCGAGGCTATTAATTAAACTGCGTGTGCTAACGCACAGCAACACTACATTTTATACAAGTTGTAAGCAGAAATTAACGAAAAATCACGAAAATTAATTAAAAATATAAAAATTTTTGGTTCTGATGTAGGCAACCAGTTGTTCATGTTTCTGTTGTATTTATTGAGGTTAGATGCAAAAAATGATTGAATTTTGATAGTATTTCTTTGTGGTTATGTTTTTGTTGCATGGTGGCGGTGTAAGTTTAAAGAAACCGAAGGAGAATTGCTCGATCTGTTCTGTTCTGTTGGTTGGGTGTTGGGTGTTTGTGCGGCTGTGGAATTGAAACGGTGCCAAAATAGTGATCGCGACTCTTACGAGTATCCTCGCCGCCGCCACGCTCAGCACGGCGATTCGTTGCTTCGATCGACCGCCCAATCTCGGGCGAGTCGGGACTTTGCCCCTGAGTGTTTTATTTTATATAACATTCACTAGGCGGGCTTAATTAATGCGTTTTTTTAGGAGGAAACTTCTTTTCGGTGGAGGTTGTGTTTTACAAATACGAGTACATTTCGTGTTTTTGAATGTTTTGTTTATTAATTATTTTAGTATCCACGATTTTTTTAAAGATTTGAATATCCTATCTTATGGAGAATTTGACGTAGATTAAGATGGTGTAATTCGATCCTTTTTATCTCTTATAGTTTACGAGATATTCGCGATTGAAAAGATCGTCAAAAATTGAAAAATGTCACTTTTTAGCATTTTTAGTCGCGTTTTTTGACTTTTTACTGAATGAAATTGAATAAGTTTATATTGTTATCTGATAGAGAATTTCCTAATCTTTTATAATCTATAATTTGCTGATTTCTATCGCTTTTAGTTTGGAAGATATTCACTATCAAAAAACGTCGAAAAAAAGTATCAAGTTTTGATCTTTTTTTTTTAAGAATTAAATTGTTTTCCCCTAAATTTCAAATTGAACTAGCCTATCTTATCTGTAGGATAAGACCCTGCAATTCGATCCCATTTATCTCTTTTAGTTTACGAGATATTCACAATTGAAAAAATCGTCAAAAATTCAAAATCTAACTTTTTGGCACTTTTAGTCGCGTTTTTCGACCTTTTACTAAATGAAATTGAATAATTTTAAATTGTTATCTGATAGAGAATTTCCTAATCTTTCATAATCCAGAATTTCCTAATTTCTATCACTTTTACATTGAAAGCTATTCGCTATTGAAAAAAAACCTGAAACATGATCGCTTTGTTTTAATATTAGTGTTTTCTGTTTTTCTAGGGTGGTGCATTTGTTTCTGATCGTCTCGGTCACTTCCAAGCGCCATCTACAACCGGAACCTCTGTAAACATCACCGATACAACCTGCAGGAGCAACATTAGCAACTCAAACAAGTATCAAATGAGTGGAATAGCAACAAATCAACATCCAAACAACGGTAAGAACAACTTTTCTAAATTTTTATAATTTTTAATGTATTTATTTCATTTTAAACTTGATGCATGTGTAGAAACAGTTTCTGGGTCTTTAGCTGAGTGTATAGAATGTAGAATGCTGAGTATTTCTTGTTGTGTCTAGTGAGTAGTGATCTCTTGAGAGTTTCGGATATAATTTAGGAAAGAAATATCGACGACGTGCGCTCGCCGCTTTAAAAATAAATTCGAAACTCTCATCCACCCGAAAAGCGCGCGGTGGCTGCCGAGATCAAACAGAGCACTCTTAGCGCTTTTATTGCTTTCTGCCATTACTATTTCGGGTGGGTTTTTCAGTTTTACGGTCAAATAATGTTAAAATGCCTTAAATTCCAACAAAAAATAGAAAACTTTCAAAGTTATCTTTTAATATTGCTATAAATAATAAAAATATTTATATATTTAGTATATTTATTTTATAGTTTTAGTTATTAACATCAATTTGAGATAAAAATCAATGTTTTATCATGAGTAGTACCAAAGTTGTGGCTTTTTAAAAATTAATTTAGAAAAAAATGATTTTACAGAAAACTGGAACACTCTGTATACTTTTTTGATACTGGGGATGATAGGGAATATAATTAGGGTTAATTTGGTGTATGATTTGTTATTATCACATAGAAATTACAGCTGTTATCATCAAAATAAGAAGAAAACATTTTTACGGGAAAATGAGATATTTGGGTAGCACTCTTTTATAGTTTTTATTAATTTGCGCAATAATTAATAAACATACAGACATAATATATATTATATATTAAATTAAAGCCAGTTAAATTATCTACCTAACAAAAATTTAAAAAATTAAAAATTATGAAATTTTAACATAAAAATCAGTCTTTTATTATAGGTAATTAACACAAAAGTTAAACAATTTTTGTTTGCACTTTTTACATTTAGTCAAATATCAAAAAACTTACGTGGTTTATAAATATTTATATTTTGTACAGTTATTCTACATAAAATTACCTTCCCATTATTAATTTATTTATTAAATTATGTGTGCAATTAGTCGAGTTATACACATTTTAGGCAGATGTTGAAAATGTAAAATTGACTTCGTATTAACTGTTCCTAAATCAAGCGTTTTATTATATATAGTTAAAAGTTAAAAGGTAGTGTGTATCGGATGTTCCCTCGAGCATAAGTGCTCCCTTTGCATGCCCTCGCCGCCCTTACGCTAGCAAAACCAAAACATCCGGCGCGGTAAATGCCTTATCATCGTCGTTTTCCGACGACGTTCTGAAAGTGCTCGAAACGAGGCAACACTCAGCACGGAAGCATAAACCAAGCGCTTTTAACGTTTAATTCTCACGTAGGGCCATCAATTCTCACATCTGTCAACACTTGTACTTTTTCCTTTATTTTTTAAGTGAGAATAGGTTATAAATGTGGAATGTGCAAGATATAGGCAACTAAATTTACATATTTAGGTAATTTAAATTGAAATAATGTGAATTTTTATGGGACACTTTGTATGTGAATAGAAGTTAATGCTATTTCGGGTGCGCATCGGCTGGCGACGTTTCGTGAGCACTGAAAATACGAAAATAGGCAAATCGGGAATTGAGTGAGTGGTAATTTAGTGACATGTCGCTCAATTTGTAGAAGTGGAATCAAAGCAAAGTCACGTGCCACACAAACAGGAAAGCTGTAAATGAAAGTTTAAAATTTAAAAAAGCAATTTTACGTTATAATTACTCAAAAACTAACTATTTTCTTGAAATTAAATTAAATTTTTATGAAATTTGAAAACTAAACTGTTTTTAAAACAAGAATATAACTATTAAAAAAACATGATTGATACAACTTTATATTTTCTTTAGGTAGGCAATTTAATTGGCTTTAATTTGATGTATAATTTATGCCTGTACGTTTATTAATTAATGCGCAAATTAATAAAAATTAAAAAAGAGTACTACTCAAATATCACATTTTAATCCAAAAATTTTCTCTGGGTATTTTGTTGATAATAGCTGCAATTTTTAAGTGATAACAACAAATCATACATCAAATGAAACCTGATTAAATTCCCTATCATCCTCAGTATCAAAAAATTATACAGAGTGTTACAGTTTTCTATAAAATCACTTTTTTGTAAATTAAATTTAAAAATGCCATAAATTTTGTACAATTTATAATAAAACATTGTTTTTTTGTCTTAAATTGTAGTTAATTTTTAATGTTTTTAATTTTTATTTGGTAGATAATTTAATTGGCTTTAATTTGATGTATAATTTATATCTGAATGTTTATTAAATTTTACGCAAATTAATAAAAACTAAAAAAAAGTACTTCCCGAATATCACATTTCCAGCGTAAAATTTTCTCTTTGTATTTTGATGATAACAGCCGTAATTTCTAAGTGATAACAACAAATCATACATCAAATTAAGCACAATTAAATTCCCTATCAAGCTCATTATCAAAAAATTATACAGAGTGTTCCAATTTTTTATAAAATCATTTTTTTCAAAATTAAATTTAAGAATGCCATAACTTTGGAACTATTTATAATAAAACATTGTTTTTTGTCTTAAATTATAGCTAATATCAAAAATGATAACATAAATTAACTAAATATATAAATAATACAATTTTTTATAATAATACAGGAAGATAACTTAGTAAATTTTATATTTTTTGCTGGAATTTTATAGCAAAAAGCAATAAAAAGCGCTAAAAGAGCTCCACTCCCTTGATATAGACTTTAAGGACGATTTATCAAGCTCCACGGGTAGATAAAGTGATGCTACTTACGCGAAAAAAGCAAAACACGCTAAACACGAAAAAGCTTAACCCCTATAAGCACTCGGAGACAAAGCAGTTGACTTTATCAACGTGACAGCCAACAATTTATTTATCTCCACATTAAAAACACCATAAAAATAATTCAACTATACTTAATCTTCTACAGGTGAACATCAATCATCTTTAGATTGCCTCAGCATGATTGTCCAAAGCATCAGCGAACATCGCGGCAAACAAAACCAAGAACCATCCAAAGACAACGAACCAGCATCAGAAACAAATAATTTCTGTGTTAATCATAATCACAATCAAAATATGTTTAACTTTGAGATGCAAAAGGGACGCAAATTCGAATGCAGATAAAATTATTGAATATTTTTTAGTGATTTACGTTTAAAATCACAGCTGAGGAACGCAGAAAAAAAAAACTCGTAGAAATGTAATATCCGCGCGTAAATATTGACAGAGTTAATGGTTGAACGTTTTTCCTTTCACTTTGAAAGTGTAATCAGCAAAAACCCCGCTGGCAAAGCTTAAAACACAAAAATCGACAAAAAAAAAAGAAAAACACACTGTATATAAATAAGAATAATAATTTTTTTCTTTTCTAATCCAGCACAGAAAAAATAAGAAGTCAAAAGTCTATCAAACAATGAAATAATTTCCATTTTACCTTTTTTAAGAGGAAAACCCGTGGAAACCCGAGACGCGAATAAAAATGATTGCATAATGTAAGGGATGCAGTGCGCAGAGGGTTGAAATGTGTGCCAGGCGCGTGTGCGCCAACCCGCGCCACGGTTCAATTCGGTTCAACCATTCGGCTGACCCATTTTCCATCCCTTACTCAAACACACTGTGTGTGTGCTTTGTAGATATTATATAAGACGAATATTTTTAAGCTAGGCAACCAAATGTACATATAAATATGTTTACAAATGTATAATGTGTAGTCTATAGGCTAAACGATTGTGAATTATGAGTAATTAGTAATGGCGTTTATACAACGATGGGGGCGGCATGGAAATTATGATACTCCGGCGTAAATTGGCCTAAATTTGGGCGTTTGTTAATAAATGAACGGCGGCGCGACGCAGAGGGGCGGCGAAACCCACGCATGTACTGTACATTTACATACAATGTGTTTAAATTTATCAAAAAATCAAAAATAATTCATTTTTTAAGTGTAAAATTGTTAAATGTCTTAAAAATGTTTAATATGAATTATTTTTATGTTTAAACACATTGTATGTTTATATAGTATAACATCATCCCCCCACCAGCGGTATAAATCTATACGCTGATGCCGTGATGCTGGTGGATGCTGCGCCGGTGGCGGCAGGCGGCAGTATCGCTCGGCACGCGTTACCCGCACGGCCCGCGCACGGCCCCGCCCGCCCCGACCTCGCCTGGATGCTGTGCGCGCTGCCGCCCCCTTCGTGCGACCGCCAGACCCTAGAAGAAAGCAAAAAACCGAAATTTATATTCGCGTGTTAATCATTACATTATTGTGGATTGTGTACGGTTGCGGTGAGGAGTCATGACGCAAGACGCGCGGAGGTGTGATGCTGGCGGGGGTGGAAGGACGTTGTGTGGACGATGGGTGTAACCGAAAAGTGCAACAAATGTGCACGCAGGGTGCAATGTGGGTCAAATATTCAACTAGTTGATAAACAAAACGAATTAAACAATCGGATTAAAGCAAATTAAAACAAAATAAAGTTGAGGGGAAGAAGTATAAAGGAAAGTAACTGAAGAAGAAGAGGAAGAAGAAACGTGACTGGAAGGTAAAACGAGTTAAGGGTTGGAGCAGTTGCCAATATTAAATGATATAACTCTTAAAATGTCAAAGAAACCTGAGAATTATTGAAGAATAAGAAAAACAGGAGAAAAAAGTAAAATTAAAGCTAAAATAAGAAGAAATTCGGGGTGGAAACTTGAAGAAAGCTGTGAATCATGTCGTGGGAGTCCCTGAACTCACATCATGACTTTATAAGGTGAGTTAGTTGATAGTCTATGTAGATTCAACCCTGGAATGTAAGAATGTAAAGTTAAAAATCAATATGCACTGAAATTTTGATGATTTTTTAACGTAATTTTAACTTTGGACGCGGATTACTCAATTGTTGTTAATTATACAATATTGTGTGATATGTCATTTGAAAGTAGATTTATTTGTGGTTATTATGGTGTTTAAATTATTTAAATGTAAAATGTAGTTTTTGAGTTATTTTGGAAAAAGTAAAAATTTTCAAAAATTTTAAAAATTTATGGTAATTTATACTTTGGATGCGAATAAGTCAAATGTTGTTAAATATACAATATTGTGTTATATATCATTAGAAAGATAATTCAACTCTCGTTAGTAAGGTAAAAAAATTATTAAATTCAAATATGGAGCTTTTGAGTTATTTTCAAAAAACTAAAAATTTTCAATGGAATTTTTGATTTTTGACGTAATTTATACTTTGAACGCGAATAACTCAATTGTTATTAATTATATAGTATTATGTTATATATCATAAGAAAGAGAATTTAATTCTAATTATTTTGATTAAAAAATTATTAAAATCAAAAATGGAGTTTAGGAATTATTTTGAAAAAACTAAAATTTTTGACTTTTAAGAAAAATTTTCTAAAACTATCATTAACTCAGGTATTAATTATCATATCAAGATGATTTTTTTGTAAATCATAGATAATTTTACTATCTTTCAGCTTGTTGCAAAAAAATTCAAATTTCTTATCAAACTTTTGAGATATCATTAAAAAACTAAAAAATCCAAAAGTTACACTTAAAAAATCATACACTATATTCTAATACTCCTAAAATACTTTCCAGTGGTGGTGTAAGTCATCAGCTATCAGCAACACGCCTCCTCTCCTCCCCGGACGGTTCACGCCACCCCCTCGACGGCCTAGATGGCACCGGCACCGGCCCACGCTCCGGCGGGCGTGACAATCACCTACCCACCCTAACTCTCGGCCGAATCGGCAGCCTACACAGCCACTCGTCCACCGGCGGCAGAAACGCGCCTAACCGCACTTGGACATGGGGCGGCACCGGCGGAGACCGAGGCGGTGACAGAGATCGTGACAGAGGCACCAACACAGGCGGTACCAACTTCGGCGACAGTTTCTCTTCACTACAACGCGATACAGCCTACGCTGAAGTCCGAACACCGCATTCCACGCTACGAAAATGGTGCTGTGCATGGGGTTGCTTCCGTGGCTGTCGCGCACGTCTACATCATCGTCTTGCAAAACGTAAAGTCGAGCAAGGTGTACGCCTGTACGCGCAGCACAAACAACAACAAGCCGTACGCAAGTGGAAATCCGCGTTGAAAGCAATCCGACGCCGCGAGGACAAATTTGAACTTTTAGGTTACTTATACCAGGCGTATATGGATTGGGGAAAATACAGGCAACCAAACATACATATTTCCACATAATAAAACAATACTTACTTAATTTTATCTTCTAGGGATGCGCTGGAATACGCACATAAACAGCTTTACATCTCCGAAGAGTTAGACAACCCGAACATGCGCGCTGAAAGTTACCTCAACCTCTCCAGAGCACATCAACGTATGGGTGGATTAGAGAGGGCGCTGGCGTATGCACGACATTCATTATACAATGAATGTGAACAGTGTGCGACTGCCGGACACGTACACCTCACAGTCGGTTCGGTGTATTTGGAACTAGCTGGGTTTAACAAGGCGCTGGATAGTTTTCAACACGCGCATCGAATCTCACAGGCTGTCAATGACCACGCGCTGGAGTTACAGGTGTATGTTGGGTTGTCGGAGTTGTTTGCACGGTTACAGGACGCGGATAAAAGCGCACGATACGCGTCGAAGGCGTACGACCTCTCACGAAGTCTCCAGCTCGGTGATTTGAACTCACGTCATCATCGCGCGGCGTTGCTGCAAATGGCGTCGGCGTTGCGCAAGCAGGGAGAGTTGGGCGACGCGCATGATTATTGCAGTGAAGCGACGCGTCTGGCGTTGGTTTCGGGTGATCAGGCAACGTACGCGAGGAGTATTCGTATCATGGGCGATATTTACAGGAAAAAACTTGATATTAATGTGAGTATCATATATAAATATGCAATAAATCAACATAACCTTTGTTTTTTTTTGATTTTATAGAAAGCATTCCGTCAGTATGAAACAGCGATGGGTTCAGCTGCCGCAATGGGTGACCGCGTGATTCAAATGGAGTCGATGGATGGCGCTGCGCGTTGCCTTGAAGCACTCCGCCTCCAGCACAAAATATGCAACTGCCGCCCCCTTGAGTTCAACACACGTCTACTGGAAGTCGCCAGCTCCGTCGGCGCGAAGCTCTTGGTGCGCACGGTGCGCACGCGTCTCGCACGAATTTATCACAGCCTAGGCGATGACGATCAGAAGCAGCATCACGAGCGCGTCGCCAATCGCCTGCTGCAGGATTTGGATCTCACCTGCGGCGGTTGTGGCTCCCCCTATGGGATTGAGAATGACAGCTTGGAGGCACTGCCATGCGCGCACATTCTACACGCACGCTGCGCATACGATATTCTACGGCGTAATAAGAAGAAGAAGCGCAGTTGTCCCGACTGTGACAAAGCGATGAATTCACGGCTTTATTTAAATTGTAACGATTATAATAACACGTACAGTCCGGTGGCGTTATCGGTCTGCTCCTCGTTGGACAGTCATTGTAGTCATCAAGCGACAAGCTCGGTTTGATCGTAAGCCTACAGATGGCCTATGGTTGTGTATGCAACCACACATACACCAAAGTAATGCGTCAATGTACATAATTTTAAGCGATCGCAATCTTACACACTGAACAAAATCGTTATTGTTAACCCTAAAAAAGTAACAAGTATAACACACGATCAACGAAAATTGATGATAATCGAATAAGCTAAGCGCACGCGTTGAAAATGTATAATGCACACACACCCACACACACGCAGAAGATGAACAATTTTAGCTAGTGTATAAAATTGACAGTGCGCAGGCGACAGGCGTTTGACAGATAACCTATAAATATTGCACGTTCTTAAAGAATACACATCATATTATTATATTGTTGAATTTATTGTAAATCTATGGACTATCAAATTCTATCTTCAAGAAAAAACTAAACCAGAGAGTAAACACGATATAAATCATATATATAAATAATTAAAACACAATTAAATATTAAATATTATAAAGATTAACAATGCGCAGCTGTAAAATGCGATCAAACTTCCAAAACAACAAACCAGTGATAATGTAAAATCGTATATTATAATAATTATTAATTTAAACAAACGCCGATAATAATTTTAACATATAATTATTATCACCCTGTTAATATTTAAGAAAACACTAAACACATTGTATTTTTATATAAGTTTATGTATGTTTGGTTGCCTATAGTATTCATAGGTGCGTTGACATTGAATCGAAAAAACACGATCATCGACAGATCACGACGATCCACATACGGCCCAGATCGTCGTCATCCAGGTCGGTGTCGCATTCCGCCCGGGAGGTGAGCACCTCCGTCGTGGCCTTTAGTCCAACCCCAACGCATACATCAGGTAAAGAAACGTGATTAATTCATTGTAAAATCACGCGTTTGTCATTTGATTCATACGATAACATAACCTCTGCGCACCGCCATGGTCGTCGACGCGTTCGACTTTCAACTCCTCCTGATAACAAAAAAACAGCCTCACCTCACCTCACTGGCGCACACACATCGATAGATAATAATACTTTGGTCACGTTTTTAGCGTGTGCGAGCGCCGTCCGTGTGGGATCATTCAGTATAGTCGCGACGGCGACGCCGCACCAGCATCATGTCCTCCAATGTGTGGCCGTATAACTGACATCCATTTGCATTTTTCAATTTCTACATGTGGTCCGCATGAATCATCTGCGCCGCTGAGTATTTTGTTGGTTGTATAAATATACAGTGTTTGGAACAATGGGGAATCATCATACGAATGGACATAAGCATGCTGGAAATGGTCAGGGGGGTGTAACGCCGGCGGATGGGGGCGGTAAGGTGGGGGAGAGGGCTGGCAGCTCGAGTTTGAACTCCAGCAGGCGGAATAGCAGCATGAAGAGTTTGTCTAGGACTCAGTCGGGGAATGAGATCAGTGAGAGGGCTACCAGTTTATTACCAGTGGAGAAACTTGCTAAGGTATGATAACAAAAGGTTTGGATTTGTTTGGTTTTGTTGTGGGATTTGTTGTTTGGTTTAGTTTTGAAGGAATTATTGGTTTATTGTGGTTAGTTTTTGAGTTATTGAAGAAAAACAAATGGAAATTGAGGTTTTTCTTTGTTTTTGAAGATGTTTTGTTTGATAACTCGAAAAATAATAACAATTCAGCTCTGATTCTTTCATAATTGTTTTCTGCATTAAATTCTACGTCTAATAACGAAAGAAATTTGAAAATCGTGTGAGTAGAACAAAAGTTATAAACAAAACAAAGACGCGTATAACGAAAAAAATACTAAAAACTTACATAACTATTTGTTGGTTATTGTTTATAACAATTTTTTTGCTCAATTTGACGTAGAATTTCCTGCTGCATACACTACTGAAAGAATTATTTATGTATCATTTTTAGTTTTTAAATTATTCAACAAAAACAACTGAAAAATTACATTTTTCCATGTTTTTGTTGATATTTTTATTAATAACTTAAAAAGCAATCAACACACAACTTTATTTCTTTCAATATTCAATTCTCCAACAAATTCTACGTCTAACAACGAAAGAAATTCTAAAATCGCTCTGCTGCAACAAAAGTTATAAACAAAACAAACTTCACCATCACGCCACAACCCAAAATACACCAAATTTTCGCTTCGGACCGTTGCAGCTCACATTTCCCATAAGAAACCATGGGTAATATGTGCACAACAACGGTCTGAAGCAAAATATAAGACAGTTCCGTGGAATATTATTATTATTGTTACTTTGGTCGTACAGTTGCGAAATGCATGAATAACAATATATTGTGGCGTGTTTGGCGCAGCGTAATCTTATCTTTTGTTAATGATAATAATTCAAAATGCAAATAGGTGTGTGTACAATTTTATTTTTATTTTTTGCGCGGATTTATTTGAGTTTTCGCGTTGATTTGCCGCCATTTTGCGTTCGCCGCGCGTGATCATGTGCGATTTCTTCTGGCAATGTTGTGGTTACATAGAATTTCAAGTACACAATTGAATAAACATTGAAAAATAATTAATAATTATATTAATATGTATTTATTGTTATTAATGATAATTTATGTTTGTTTTTTTTGTAGATTTTGACGCAGAAGTCACAACATGAGGAAAACATCAATGGCGTTGGTTTAGCGACATTTACAGTAAGTGTTTTTTAGTCAATTTGATGCAGAATTTTATTCTGAATGCGTTAGTGAAGGAATTATTAATGTATCATTGTTAGTTTTTGAGTTATTAAGAAAAAACAAGTGAAAAATTAGGTTTTTTCATGTTTTTGCTGACATTTTGTTTGATAACTCGAAAAATAATAACAATTTTGTTGTTATTCTTTCATCAATGTATTCTCTAATAAATTCTACGTCTAATTATGAAAGAAATTTTTAAATTGCTTAGTTACAACAAAAGTTATAAACAAAACAAAGTCGCGCATAACCAAAAAGTACTAAAAACGTAAATAACTACTTGTATATTATTGTTTATAACAATTTTTCTTGTCAATTAGGCGTAGAATTTCTTACTGAATACACTACTGAAAGAATTATTAATGTATCATTGATAGTTTTTGAGTTATTAAACAAAAACAACAGAAAAATTAGATTTTGTCTTGTTTTTATGGACATTTTGTTTGATAACTCAAAAACTAATAATAAATTAGCTATTATTCTTTCAAAATTGTATTCTGTATTAAATTCTACATATAATAACAAAAGAAATATCAAAATCCCTCCACTACAACAAAAGTTATAAACAAATTCCTATTTTTTTTTCTAGAAATATTTATTCCCACGTTATCCGCTGCTGGCTGAAAAGCTCTATCACTACTTCATGGCGAACGGCAACGGCAAACACAACTACCTGACCACCGCCGCCTTCAAGCAGCAGTGCGACAAGCTCTTTGCGGTAACCTCGCTCGGCGGCCGCCGCTCGTTTGCGCTATAACCGTGTTTATGTTTCATATCCAAACTCGGCGCACCCACAGATGATGGACGACGACATGATCCGCGACTATCTCGTGCGCATGTTCGCCGACAAGGCGGACTCGGGCGAAGCGTACGTCATCACGCCCGAATCGTTTCAGAAGCTGCTCATGTGCGCCTACCACGTGGCGATGGATCACTACTCCGAAGGGCCGCAGATGTGTCTCATGATCAACAAAACTCTACGTTCTGTAGTCGACAGTTGCTTCCATTCGAAGCAGCAACTCTCCGAACAATTCGTCAGCCATTGGTTGAAGGACAACGCACCGCGACTTGTCATTCCGCTGCATCGGTATGCGGTGCATTCACTGGCAACCTCACATCGTAATCTGGAAGAGAATGGACCTAATCTAGTCGCAGGTTAGTGAAAAATCATTTTAATAATCTAGTTTAAGTAAAAAAACTGCTTTTGTCTGGTTTAGTCAAAGCGGAAACACAAACACAGGCATCAGGTGTGTGTAGGGTTGCCTGCTTGTATACATGACATGTTAAAATGTGTTGGTTTATTCAAAGGTTTAGAGATGGCGACACCTGTGCTGGAACACCCGTCGCCATTCGGCGACAAACCGCCGCATCCGCACTTGTTGCAGATGAGCGCGTCATGGTTGCTTGCAGGCGCGCTACCGCCGTTGTTCTCACGTCCGCAGCAAGCGCACTCGCCGAGTAACAGCGGTGTGGGTTTCTCCAGTGGTACGTACTTGGCGAAGTTTCTTTGCACGCTGCCATCACACTGGATTAACCTCTACGACTCGGATGAGCATGGCTTGGGTGCCAATCGTTTTGCACATCATGTATTGGCATACAAAGGACCTACTCTGGTTTTGATTCGGGTGGAAAGCGGGTTGGTGTTCTGTATTGCTGCGCCTTGTGAATGGAAAGAATCACATTTGTATTGGGGCGGTGAGGATTCATGCGTTTTTCAACTGTTGCCAAAGTAAGTGTATAGGTTAATATAGGCAACCCAATATACATGTTTTATGCTTTGACAGATTTTGTTTGCTGGAGAAAGGCTCAAAGATGCTCTACTTGAACACGCTTGTCAGAGGTTATCCACAGGGTTTACGCGCTGGTACCAACCCCAGGGAGCCGATTATTACAATCGACAAAGGTTTTGAGAAGGTATTTTTTGTTTTTTTGAAAATTTTCTGATTTTTATATAAAAATGTAATGTTTTAGTTTGAATTTCGTAAAATTCCCTACGCATTGGAAACAATCGAGGTCTGGGGCTGCGGTGATCAAGCATCCCGCGAGGTACAGCTGGATATAAAGAAGTGGCAGGTACGCGAAGCGGAGAAACAGCGCGCTGTCAAATTGAGCGCCGCTGATTGGCTGGACCATCCCGATCGCTATCTGCTAGAACTCGCCGGGCGCCCGCAGTACCACCAGAAGCAGAACCAATGATCGCGCGTTTGAAACTCATTCATTGTGATATAACCCTAACACTTAGGCCTTAGCGGATGGCGTGACGCAACGAACGCAACCAACTTTACACACTTGACGCGATATAGTATTCTATTCGAGCGGCAGTACTTAATTTTTTTGTTTCTCTTCATCATTATTATTATTTTTTCTCTTTTAAACAACGAGTATTTCATTCTTTAGTATTGTTTTGCTTTGGTTTTATTCTACGAGAGTACTTAAACGCAGGCGTCTCTGGCTTAGAGTCTATAAACAAGCTGTATGATAATATGTGACTTAATAATTTATTGTTACACGCAATGAACGCTCAAGTTTTCACCTGCAATGTATTTCCTTTTTGGTATTTTGACAATCTCCGGACACACTGTATATTCGTAGTGTTTTATTTTGACATGTCAAAAATGTGTATGTTGGGTTGCGGAGTGTAAATGTGCAGGTTATATTTAGTTATGTTTACCCCACTTTCACTCGTCGCAAGATATCAAATATTCACGATTAATGCGCCGAAAACGAGCGATAAGACGTCGTCGGCATGAATCTCCAGTCGCTTTTTCGTGACTTTAACCCTAGGTAACACCTTGGGACATCTAACTATCGCCTAAAATCTGTAAACTTAATTTTTGTCTTTTTAACCTTGTAGTAAGTTCATTGTACACACCTGCTTGTTGATTTTCACCGCATTATTCGCGCTGCGTCTCGACGATCACCTACAATGGTCATACTGGTGCGTGTTTGCACCAATTTGGGTGTGGAAATCATTCGTGGTGCTTGGAGCAACAGTTGGGAGCTATGTCTGGTGGAGATATCCACATTTCAGGTGAAAAAACACTTTAAACCTTAAAATTTCACTTATTTCATGTTGAAATCTTGTAGATTGGAAGGTGAAGCATACATACACTACAAATCAATGCTGATATCATTGGCTCTGCATCTGATTCTCCTCATGTTTGAGTTGTTGGTGTGTGACAAGCTGGAATCGGGCAGACATTTGTGGATTTTGGTGTTTATTCCGCTGATTTTCATCTCGATTGTTAGCATTGCAGTGTGTATCTGGGCTGTAAAGCATGACAGATCATTTGAGGTAAAATTTTCATAGTTTTTTGTGCGTTTTTGATTGAAATTTTTGTTTTTTTTTGTTGTAGTTGGAGTTGTTTTGTGCTGTCAATGTGCTGCAGTTCATATTCCTAGCTTTAAGACTCGACGGGTTCATCTCGTGGTCGTGGGAGGTGGTGTTCGTGCCGTTGTGGATCGTCATGTGCCTTTCGTTAGTCGGCGTTTTGTATACAATCATTTTTGCGGGTATTTTACTGCGTACGCCCGAAGTTACAGCGCAGCAGCGTCGCGCTAGCTTTCAATCAGCACTGGGGTATACTTTTTTGGTTATTCCTATACTGATTTTTCAAGTAAGTACCTAATTACATCATAAAATTTAATATTTATGTTTAAAATCCGTGTATTTTGCATAATATCATCAGCCATGTTGTTTTTTGTGTATAAGTTCATGTTTTCTCCGCCAGGTGCTGCTGGCGAATAAACTCGACGAAGAAATCAAAATGGCGTTCATCGTGGTTGTCAGTCCGCTGTTCGTCTCCTTCGTAACGCTAATCCTGATGTCGTTCAGTGCCAAAGGCGGAAATAAATGTAAGTCCATCACTTCATTCGTGCATTTCATGGGAATATTGATGTTAATCTACTCAGGGTGGTTCGGCATGCGTAAAGATTTCTGCTCGTTTGTGCTCGGCGCATGCCCGCTGCTGCAGGAGTACGCCAACATTGCGTACAATACGGACAGGCGACGCGCGTCCGCCGGCGTCGAGCTGCAGTCCGCCGACAAGCAGGATATGCGCATCAAAAAGGCGGACATGCTCAAACCGGTCCTGCTGATCGTCTCAATCGAAATGCCCGACTGATGCCGGGCGCGACTTAAATGTAAACATGATCTCTCAGTGTCGAAGTTTGTTTCCACACTGCCTCTCCGAATCCGATAAATATCAATTTGTATGATGGCGATCTACGGCCTACGTATCCAAAACCAGCTGAAATGGTAAGACATAATCCGATACAGTTACTATTTTGCAGATTTTTTGCATTGTGGTGTTTTTTAAACACAAAGAGAGGAACATAAATGTGCTTCCTTTAGTTTATATGTATTCAATTTAAGACGTTTAGTAAGAAAAAACATTAAATTTTTAAGAAAAACTCGTTGAATACTCAAAATTTGCAGATTTTCTTATGTTTCCTGTAATTGAATAGCATGGTTATTCAATTACCTTATATTAGAATTAGTTGCGTACGTCGCCACTAGATGGCGCGACAGGTATCAAATCGAGGTAAATTTTAGTAAAAACTTTAAAATTTCTTGTTTTTTTGAGTCTCAGTAACTAAAAACACTTTCAACAATTAAATAATTAATATTTATTTGTTATTATGTTTATATTTTGTCTTAATTTTTGTATAATAATTATTTTTAAAAGTAATTAAATATCTTTTTTTGCCCACAGGTGGCGCTGGCGTATTCAAAATGCATACGTTCAACCCGTGGTGCACTTGTTTCAAAAAACGCCAAACAACACGCTGGCCATTTTTAATTTTCATCCGCAACATGTGCATCAAACCGCAGTAAGTAATATCGAATTAAACTCGCCCTGTCCAATATTTCCAGCTTGTCTGTTTGCAGTTAATTCCAGCCGGGAGTGAGCGGTATGTGAGTTTGTTGATTCGACGGCTCTCGGAGGAAATTCCTGCTGCGCTGCGGAAATGTAAGTCACAACTCAATATTTCCTCTCTACTCTACTCTATTACTACTTTTTTTGCTGCTTCATTTTATTTCGCATCGAATCGCATGCTTTCGAACGTCGTTTACTTTGTAGTTGCGCGCCGTTGAGATGTAAAAATGTGTCGCGTACAGATGGATGGAGTCGGTGAGAAATGAGGAAAAATGCGTGTCGCGTGAGAACGTAAAAAGACACTGAGTGGTAAATTCGATTAGAGTTCGGGGATGTCGCCATGACACGGCTTCTTTTTCGCGTGGTGTGTGTGGTGTGGTGTGGTTTGCACTTTCCATACCATTATGCGTTTATGCAGGCTTGGATCCTTGCTTTGATCTCGAAATATATTAGATCACATTGTGATATATTATATTTGCAGAGTGTATTTGAGATTACAGCAAAGAAATAGGGATTTTTAGTATAAAAATTGTATTTTATGGTAGAATTACTAAGTATTTTTGTGTTATTTTGATGAATGATGGATTATTCCTCTTCTAAGAGTATTCTGGAGAATTTTTGTTAATTTTTAAAGAGTAGTTTAGAGGTTATGAGGGTTTAAAAGTGTTTTTTCATAAAAAAACTTTGTTTTTTTTGCAGTTTTAAACTAGAATTTTGCAATAACTATTATTTCGATTAGGTTTAAACGCATTCAGGGAAGTATTTGTTGAGTGTTTTCGGGGTTTTTGGGTGAAAAGAATTTTTTAATTTTAGTTAAAACTTTTTTGTTTTATTCAAGAAAATCCAGGAAAAATGTAAAAATTACATTTTTGATAAGAAAAAACGCATTTAGTGATAATATTTATTACTTATTTTGTTTTCTACTTAGTATTAACAGAATATTTACAGAAATTTTCATTAAAATCAACCAATAGTTCAAAAGTTATAAACAATTAAAACAGAAAAACAAAATTTTTCCCCAAATTTTCACGGCAGGGGATCGCCACTTTGCGATATAACCTCCCTCCTGTAACCTTAAAATGACACCAGAACTACATCTTTAATATTTCTACTAATATTTCACGTTAATTCCATTTTTACCTTGTGAAAACCCTTCCGGAACACTTGCTGATAATCGTCGGGTTCGGAGAATTTAAACAAAATACCCGTGGCGGTTTTAGTCAGACTAAAACTGCCGCGAAAGTTGAGTTTATCGCAAATATTCGCCGCTTTGTCCAAACTCAAATCATGCGAAGGCGTCAATAGGAATGCGCCTTTGGTTAAAAATCGCCCGCCTTGCTCGCTGAGGTCACTATTGGTATCGTCGTTTTCAATGCCCATGATACCCGAATCACCATACAGAATCGACATTATCGCATTTTGTGCTAAGAATACACTAAGCAACCGCATGAATCTCATGAGGTTTATATGCGCTTTGCGGTCGATTAACCAAACCCACATCGGATATAATTTGGTAATTAGTGCAATTAGTTGCTTACCTAAAAGGAGTTCCAAAATGATCGCCAATTTTCATCTCAATTCGCAATCATTTCGATATAATTATATCCACCCACGAACATAACCTTCAATTAATAATATAATATATTTTATGTGAGTGAGTGTGTGTGTTTGGTTGCCTATAGTTTTCATTTGTCGCACCTTGGACAAACATAATAAAAGTCACCCTTTTATTGAGCGCTAAGGGTGTCGAAGGCGTTTGAGCCATTTGAGTAGCTGTTGACGGCGGCGTATAACACTCGTTTGACATTTACAATTTTATCATCCCCCGCGCAATCAGGGGATGAAATGTGCATCCATCCATCGTATACAACGCCATCAAAACTTTTACAGGTTGAAATTTGTTGATTATTGAAGTCGCCCTTGGCTCCGGCGCCCACTTGCGGCGAAGTCCGGAACGCCCACAACATCCGCGACCTACAACCCCCAGCGGAAGAGGCCGCGTCTCGAGCCGACGAGCCACGAACACCGCCGACCAGACCGCGCTGAGGGTGCTCAGCAAGGGATGCTGAGCGACTCGGCCTCTTTACCACCAACATCGCTCGACGCCGCACGCACTTCTCGACCTCTTCCGAGCAACATCAACAGCCAAGCACAACCATGTTTGGCGCAGTCGGTAGGATTCGAAGAGGTATACAAATTTCCATAATTGACCTGCGATCCGGTAGAAGTACGCGCCCCAAGATGGCCGCACCCGCCCTTGAAAAATACTCCGGACACAAAACCGTCGTTCGCGCCGAATTATGGCTGAATTTGTTCGAAGTGGTCGGCTTCGACAAAACCGACAATGAGAAGGTAGCCATGCTCATAGGTACCTCGTGGACGACGCTACAGTAATTGCCGCGATGGACATAGCCCACAGATGGGCTCAATCACATGGGCAGAGGGTCCGACGCGCCAATTGATCGCGCGATTTGGCGAAGCCGGTGGCCCGACCCGCTTTAGTGCAGGCTCAGCGCCGCATCCTAGGGTACAAGTCAGTGAGTCGTATTTTAACGACGAAGATGCGGCTACTGCGAATGATCGCCATTGGGGAGACACTTGCACGTGGTGGCGCAACTGACCGAGATGCCGACGCATTACCGCGGTTGTTGCTGTGCGCCGCCACTCCAGCAGCGACCGACTGGCTTCACGTGGCCATGCGGTTGGAAGCCACGCTTTGGAAGTAGCGCCACCGCGCCCGCAGCCACGAGCGGTTCTTCGCCACGGCGTTGGACGTCGACGCCCGCGCGCAGTTCGGGTCAACAACCAAAACGTCGCCCACCAACAGCGTGCGCATCTGTGTGCGAAAGCGGGCTGACGCAATGGCACTGGCACCGCGAAGGGTGTCCTCGTCTGCGGACCCAGCCGACAATGGTAGCCGCCGAACCTCACCACGACCCCGGGGACGCGGTCAACAGGTGCCACATGAGGAAGTCGTTCCTGTTCGGAAAGCCTGGGCGACCGTCACTAGGCTTGCTGGATATTGCGGTGCGTATCAGCGGTTCCCCAGCAGAGCTGTTAGTAATTGACTCCGGGAGCACCATCAACGTCATCAGCGCCACCCTCGCCAGACGCTTGGATAATGAGCCCCGTCCGCACACCACGTCGCCGTCTTCCAGAGTGATGAACGGTCGCGCAGCGGCGACGGTTCCGCCACCGTCTCTCTGACCATCGGCAGCGACAGCCATTCTGTCGATGTCCACGTGTTGGCAAATCCTTACGACGTGATTATTGGCCTCCACACAGTCGAGTCTTCGGACTGAAGATCGACTTTCGCCAGCTCACGGTCCACCGACAGACCCTGGCCAAAACGAGACCAACGCTCTGCCTCACCGCAGATGCCCAGCTGCGCCTAGCGTCTCCACCATTGTGGGTCGCTTCCCGCAGCTGTTCGCTACCGGACCTACCGACGTCGGCCGCATCCCCCGATGTTGCTCGCATCCGCCTCGAGCCGAATTCCACCCGTCTCCACCGGGCGCTTCCGGCACTCTGGCCTGATGCCGAAGCCATCCGCACCCAGGTCACTACGCTGCTGTCCAAGGGGCCTCATTAAGGGAGTCCACGTCTCCGTGGGCATCACGCGCTCTCCTCGTCGAGAAGTCGGTGGTAAGCGTTTATGCGTGATGCGACCCCTCAGTACCGTCACACCGTTCTGAACGTGAGCCACTACCAGACATCCGTGACGTCATCGACCAACTGGCGGAGTCCCGCGTCATGTCCGTCCTCGATATAGCCTGGGGCTATTGGCACATCGCCATTCGCCGAAGAGTCCGTGCCACTCACAGCGTTTAACCGCCGATGGCCAGTACCGATGGCTGGTCTTGCCATTCGGCTATCGAAATGCCCCGCCGACGTTCAGCAGGTGGTGCGTCAAGTCTAGGGGATCTGCTGAACAAGGGCGTCGTTCCGTATCTGGACGACGTTATTGTTCACCACACCATTTTGCAACAGCAACACGGTACCTCTTGGTGTTCACCCGCCTCGCAGCCGCCAACGTCCGCCTTCGCCGGGAGAAGTGCCACTTTTCGCAGCCCGAGGTGGAGTACCTTGGCCATGTGATCTCCGCAGGGAAGGTTCGCCCTGCCCCAGCGAAAGTTGCTGCGGTTGCTGGATTTTCAAGGCCGCAGAACGTCAAGGCACTCCAGCGGTTTCACCAGGGTTGCCAATTTTACCGCCACCGCTTTGTCGGTGACTACGCCCGAAGTCGCCAGACCTCTCGCAGACTCACCAGGGAAGGGTTTGCCGACAGCATCACCGACTCCTGGGGCACCGAGCAGGAGGCCGCGTTCGAAGCCATCAAGAACGCCTTAACTTCGACGCCGGTAGTCAGCATCTACCGCCCGGACAAACCTGTGGTCCTGTTTACTGACGCCAGCACCGTTGGACTTGGAGCTGTCTTGATGCAACCAGACGACGATGGCCATCGACATGTAGTCGCATACTACTCCCGCCGCTTATGCGATGCTGAGAGTCGATACAGCGCCAGCGAGCTCGAGTGCCTGGCGGTCCTAAGTGCGATGGAGCACTTCCATGTCTACGTGCACGGCAAGCATGTGGACATCTACTCGGACCATTCGGCGCTGCAGTGGCTCTTCAACATGAAGAACCCCTCGAGCAAGCTGTACCGCTGGTCGATCCGCTTGTCGGTGTACCACTACACCATTCATCATCGACCCGGACGGCTTAGTGAGGTAGCTGACGCTCTCTCACGAGGGCCGGTGTCGCTCCTCATCGATGATGACGTCTTGCGACGCGAGCAAAACTTGCTGGACGATCCACCCCCAGGCTGCCAGCGGCGCGGGATGGCGGTTTGTGGCAGCCGGGGGCCTGAATCAGATATTCGTACCGGCCCCACTCCGCGTCGAGGTTCTCCGACACTACCACGACGAGCACGGACATCCTGGCGTGTTGAGGACACAACGCCTCTTGGGCGGACACTATTGGTGGCCTGAAGCCGCCGATCACATCAAGGCGTACGTTCATTGGGTGCACACGCGGCGTGCCAGCTGGTGAAACCTGCAACCGTCGACCACTCTCGGCCTCTTCAGCCGATCGCTTCGCCGCCGGGTCCAGGGGTCATATGGGCGATCGACACCATCGTCATGGGGTCTGCAGCTGCACGCAGCAAGGCGAAGTATATCCAGGTGGTAGTGGATCATCACTCAAGGTACGTTTGGGCATTTCCCACACCTAAAACACCACTGCGACTGTTACTTAGGGTTGCTGTTAGCTGTTCACCGCCGTAGGCCCGGAACGACTGATCTCCGGACAGGGCGCAACTTCACCGGCAAACGCGTTCCGGCGTTTCCTGGAAACTCACGGAGTGCGTCACGTCACCGTCGCCTACCGTCCGCAGGCCAATGGCCTCTGCGAGCGAACGACCTGATGGCAGCACTGAGGCCCTGCGCCTGGAAGTAGTTGATCACCCAAGCCAAGATGGTCAACGCTTCTTTCTCAAGTGGTGGACAACCATAACCAGACACCGCGTGGGATTTACCGGCTACTCCCCGCGCTGGCACCATAGTTTTGATTCGCTGAGCCATCCGGTGCCTGCGACAATGTGCCGGTAGAGGTGAAACGCCGCCGATGCGACAGAGGTCGAACGAAGAGGGACGACGAGATCGACACAACCAGGGCACAGAGACAAGTGCGTTTCAAGTTTAGCGACCTTGTGAAGCGGTGCGTTCCCCACCATCCACGCGCCGCCAAACACGACCACGTATAGCGGCCCTTCGTGGTTCTCCGGTCCCTGGGTCGAGACTTTGAACTGGGCCTCGTTGAAGGCAACGCGTCGTATTGACGAAGACTATCCACGTCCCCACGCAAAGCCAATTGGAGAGAGGGTTCTACGTACGGACCTCGCTTCGGAAGGGAAATTGAGGGAGTCGCCCTTGGCTCCGGCGCTTACTTGCGGCGAAGTCCGGAACGCCCGCAACATCGCGACCTACAACCCCAGCGGAAGAGGCCGCGTCTCGAGCCGACGGCCACGAACACCGCCGACCAGACCGCGCTGAGGTGCTCACGTAAGGGATGCTGAGCGGCTTCGAAGCCTCTTTACCACCAGCATCGCTCGACGCCGCGCTTCTCGACCTCTTCCGAACAGCATCCCAGCAACTGGGCGCGGCTTCGTGTCGTAGGATGACCATTTGTGTTGGCATTCTGCACCCTCCGAAAAACGTGTGTGACATTTTGATTGTTTCGCTTCGTTACGCGCGCTAAACTTTACGCTGATAAAAGGGCAACGCGTCTTCAAATGCCATCTGCATATGACACATGGAAGTATAAAAAACCTGTATAAACTTTATGATGATTTGTGAGGTTACAAATTGCGCATAGTGAAGAAATTCATTGCCCGATCAAAATTAATAGTTATTACCTTGTGTCGTGTGTGTTGTCTCGCAAATATTTGCCCAATTAGACGGGCAACGAGAGTATAAAAATAAAACGCAACGTGTCGTAGACTTAATTAAATCAAAATACGTATGATTGGTTGCCTATAGTTGTAAATGGAAAAATTTGGTGTTTGTGTGGTTGCCTATATTATATTGTATGTAAATATATCGCCCGAATGAATTATTACATGTCTTTGCTTGGAGAGAAATATACGTAGACAAACATTGTTTGCGTGAGGGTTGTTTAAGGGTGCGCCGGTGGAGGTGACTCGCTATCGTTATTATCATCCACCACCACCACCACTAGCATATTTTCCGCATTTAGTTTATCGCATTTTACGACCGCGTGCGCGTCGCCCGGCCCAACCTGGCTCGAACCAATTAGTGTTAATTAAATGATGCCATCATCGTTGGCTGGCCAGCACGAAAAAACTCCACTTACACACAAAAAAAAAATAACATCCACACACTCGTCGAATATTGTATTGTGTTAAATATGTTTAATAAGTTGCCTATGACGATTCGAATTGTGCACTAAAAGCCGGAAATTGCGCTTAAATCCGCTGTGTAACCCTGCGAAGGGGGCGAGTGTAAAGGTGCGAGTCTTCATTTGTTTAGTCAGATTCGATCGCATTTCAACGCCTGTTTGCCAACTTATCGCATTTTATCGCCCTGCGAAATCTGTCGGAACTGTCATCGTTAAAGGCCCGCTTGATAAATTGCGTTTTTCCGATTCTGACAGGCCATAAACAATCCATATACATCGCAAATAAAACTTTTTTCTCACTGCGTTGAGTGTATGCAACGCAATTCGCGCAGCACAGCACGGCAACAAAGTCGAAACAAAACAATTTACAAAGAAAGATTATGTAATTTAAAACTAAAACACACAATTGTATTTATTTTCAACGTGTATGTGTTGTGTGTGTGTTGTGTGTGTAGACTAGTTGTGGGCTCGTCCACGATTGTGTAACACGCGCGCATCGCATGCACATCGCAGGTTGCGCTGCATTGAGTTCTGTTGTTTACAATATACACTGCAACCGCGCGCGTGGAGCCCACCCATTTGGCTGTACGAACGGGGAGCGGCCACCGCCACTTCTTCCTCCTTCCGCCTTCCGGTTAAACATAAAACAATCACATTGCGCGAAATTTATAAAAATCCAATCAAAAAACCAAGTTGAAAATTCAACATAGGCAACCAGTGATACACCAAACTTCTTAACCTTCAACGTAACCTTAAAGTATGACACCACACAAATTAAAACAAGTCGAAAAAGTGTCTCGAAAAAGGGGCTTGGCGTGGATGAGGGTGCGCCGGTGATGACGTTAGCAATATCCCCTCACCGAAGGATGTATTCCACAAGGGTCTGGGGAGAGCAGTGTTATATCCTGGTGAGCCATAAATTCGTTTTAATTGTTATTATACAGGATGGTTATGTTAAAAATAAAGCATGTGTGTTTTTAGTTGGGTATTATGTATGTGCCGTGCGCGATGATGAGGCAAAGATAGAAGTTTCGGACATTTCTTTGTCTCCATGCCGTATGTAAATCGTAAGGTGCAGAATTCGAACGGGGGCGCGCACGCAGCTCGCGCTCGCGTGACTGTAATACCAGGTGAACGGAGAAAAGCGGAGCCGAGGACGAAGGCGGGATCGACGACGCCAAACAGGGTCGACCGATGCGTTCAATCGGACGCTGAGCGGCGGCCCGCTCGCCTGCTCCTCTCACCGCACACCACACACCACTACTACTGCTCCAACTCCTTCCTCGCAATCACTATTTATCCACCGGCAACTTTTACTTTTCAAACTTCACATCGGTTTTAAACAATTTTGTGTTTTGTTTTGATTTCGATTTGTTGTTTAAACGTGAGCACCAACACACACTGTGTAAGGTATAGTATTATTTTTGTCAGAGAGAGTTGTTTTGTTTCGTGCGCGCGTTGTTTGTCATGGCAGCGCTATCACCACACCGGTGTGGGCTGGCTACACGTTGTTGAAATAATTTCGCGAAATAATCAATACGCAACGAAGAGCCGCACCAGAGAGCCGAATATTTATTATCTGCGGCGCCGTTTATATGTTATTTTAGCTGTGTGTGTGTGTGTTTGTGTGTGTGTGTTGGGTCTGAGCGCGAGAACAAAGAAGTGCATGCAGGTCGCGACTCTCTGCGCGGCTGTGGCTTCAATGTGTAACAGTAACTCAACTCTTCGGCGAACCAGCAACGCACCAAGAGCAGAGACGACCGCCGAAGAGCAACACGAGCGCGCGGCGCGCAGAGTGTGCATGAGTGTGTTTTTCAACAAAACGCCCACGCGTGCTGTGTGCTCAGTGTACCACAAGTCTCGTAGTCGTACTCGGCGTGCCGTACAACTGTAACTATGAACTTTATGAACTACATTCACGAGAAAACTTAGAAATTTGCGAATATCTCCGAAACTAATGAAGTTACAATCTTAAAACTTTTACTAATTTGTAAAGAATTAAATTCTACATATTTCTAGTTTTTAATTTATAAAAATCCGTTGATATTTAGTGAAAAAATCGCGAAAATACGAAAAATTTTGCGATTTACGCGTATAACGTGTTGCATATAGTCTGGCGGAAGTGTGTTACGTGTTGCATAAAGTTGCGCGTACGTGACGTGTTTCAGAGGGGTAGATTTTCGCCCGCTGGGCACTTGTTGAACATGCATTCACTCTCAGTCTCCTGCGTATCTCGGCGCGTAAAAAAACTTTCCGCACACTTTTTCTTTGTCTCGTGCATTATTGCGCCGCGCGTCGTTCGTAGGTGATATAATAAATATTTTCCGCGCTACAGTGTGTCGCTTTTAACCTGCACGACACAAATATTTAAATTAAACGCCGGTTGAGTAATCCGCATCATAAACGCGTGTTATTCCTGCGCACATGGCAGGCGTGGTTCTATAAATAAAAAAGAATTTGCTGGAAAATTGAATATCGAAGTGCGCGCATGCGCCGTGTACCCAAAGACAAAATTACAGCTTAATTACGAATCTCATTGATTGTGAATACTCACAAACACATAAACACACACACACAGAGAATGGATAAATAAGTGCGGCATGAGTTGTAGTTATACTTAAGTGAGTTTAGTTTAGTTTACGAGACGAGCGCACGCCGCCCACACGACAATAACACAATAACAAGACCACCGAAAGACACTTTGTAAGCGAATATCTAAATATCCAAAGCGTCGAGTAATCGTTTTCTGCATAAAACACTGCGCATGCGTATTGACCTTGAAACATGCACACACATTGTTCGTTTTCCCAAATGACATCATAATACGCATAGAATAATAAATCTTTTCGAGTTCATTTCGCTACAAATTCACCGATACGAGTGCAGATTAGGATGGCGTGACGAACACACAGTGTGTAAACATGATGCATATTACGTAATGCACCTCACCTATACTCGTTCACCTGTTGATTGAGATGCATTTTTTTTGCGTGAATTTTTCTCAACTTTTTCGGGGGAATAATTCCCGTTCGACGTGTGTATCGGTATCGACGAGCGTTCGACGTTTTTCCAATAATAACTCCTGCCAATAATATCTATCGGGGCCCCCTTCGCCGCGTCACCTCCTCCACCTCTCCACCTTCGCGCATATTTATAAATCGGAGAAGTTGAGCTTTGGAAATTGTAAAAGTACACCAGCAGCGCGCGCGCTTTGTGTGCTGCCAAAAACAACTCTCGCAAAATGTCTGTTCAATGTCTAATGTTTCGGGGGGGCAATATTGCCCGATTCGATTCGTGCGCGGGTGATACGCGTGACATATTCGCTCCGAATTGCTTTTTCTATATTTATAACGCAATTATTTGTTGTGTGTTTCAGGAAAGGATACGCCACACACAAAGACTTCGCAATGTGGGTTAAAAGTTAAAAGTCGTGCGCGCACGCGCATTTGAATCTCGAGATTCAACTCCAACTCCTCCATCACAATTAGAACACTCTGCACGGAACATTACCCTCGGTGTGCAATGCCGTGCACTTCAACTCTGCGGATGTCTTTATATTATTTTTATTTTCGTTTCGAGTGCGTATCTTGCGCGTCGATCAACATTTCTTCTTTTGCTCTTCTTTTCGTGTTTTATTCTTGTTTCTCGCCGCGTTAAACTTTATCATTTTGATCAAATCCTTTGTTTGCATTAATTTCGTCTAATGCTGTGTGTTTCCAGATGTGTATAACCACCTGTTGGTCGCATCGTCGCTGCCGCTCGGGGTGATGCCGGCGAGCTTGAAATTTTGCCCTCCCTGTTTTCGCGGCGCGCGTGCCGCTCGATTGCTCCGCGTGCGCACGCCTGGGTGAGCAAAGTTTCAGGTGTGTCGGCGTCGTGCCCCCATGCAACAACAACGCAACGCACTCCCTCGCAATACATCGGCAGGTGTACGCATCGAAAAATAACAAAAAAAAAACAACTCAACGAAGAGTTTCATTTTGGCCACGCTTGAACTTTGTTTTTGCCTGTGTTTGCCAGGTGAGCAAAGATTCAGGTGTGTCTAGAGCTCTTTTACGCTGCACAACAAGATCATATACATCATATGGATACTACATGTGTTACATAACCTCTAAAATGAATACCAATGAAAAATAAAGTTTTTCCTGAATCGTATCTTGTTTTTCACTCGAGAGATTCACAACATTCATATTTAAATAACAACACGTCTGTTTGTAAATATATGTAAAACATCACACAAGTGCAAAAATACATCTTGAATTTAATTCATTAATCTAAACCCTTTGCTTTCCGTTTAATCCTCGCATATGGTCCCACCTCTGGATCCATAATAAAATCATACAGCACCGCCGACCAAGAATCATGATGCGGTAGATTATCGTAAAACTCCGCGGCGATTCGCTTCACTTCCGGCAGACGACTGCCGGGCACCGCCGGAAAGTCATGGTGTTCATTATGATAGCCCACATTGAATGTGATCCAATTCAACGGGCCGTAGTAGCTGTACGTTTCATAACCATGTTTGAACATGTAATGCTCCGAGATGAAGTGTCCAGCGACCGGATGCAAACCCATCGCCATCACAGACCCGAAACATAGGTAACACAACACTTTACCACCCAGATAATACCAGACTAAACCATCGAAAGTGAATTGTATGACCGCATTGAGGTATTCCAACATCATCGGGGGTTTCGGATAGACAATCAGAGGTCGAAACGCGTAGAAAAACGGCTGGAGGCATACCCAGATGAATTTACCAAATGTCGTACAGAATAATTTCGCTTCCAGATAGGTGGGGATGTCTGTGTCGCGTTTCTCATCACCTTGATACTAAAAATATCATGATTATGATGATTTTTAGGGTTAATAATTGATTATTTACTCTGTGATGCTCCAAGTGGTACTTTTTGAAACTTATAGATGCTGGTACACCTATTGGGAGGTTAGCAAAGAAACCAAACCATCGATTTGCCATGGGTCGTGCATGTCCAAAGGCCAAATTGTGTGCGATTTCATGAATTGCTATAAATTTGAAAACACGGGTTTAATGTAGGCAACCAAGCATACGCGCGAGTGTACTCTGCTCACCCAGCATTAATGAGTGATTAATTACTCCTCCAAGCATGTAAGCCGCTAGTAATAACACAGGCCATGACTGGTCTTTGATGACAAACATCATTATCATCTGTATGGAGACCATCAGTGTCACCACCCACTTGAAATTCGGATCATAACCAAAGAGTTTCTTGATTTGTGGATATTTTTCTACAATTACACACAATATAAACCCATTTATGCTTTTATATTATAATATTGATTTACCTAGAATTATTTTCCGCCTTGAAGCGTGCGGTTCTTCAGTGTACACCCACTCAAAATCAGTCCGCGAGTTTCTTTGCCCCATGATTTAATAAAATAGAATATTTAAGACACTGATTCACTTGAAATTTACTTCTCACGCGTCAATTTCGACAGATGCGTTCGATTTCGGCGACTTCCTCGATACGCAGGAAGTGGCACTGTACGCGATGACGACGCCCAGCGTAATCATGCGTTTTTCGTTGGTTGGCAAACGAAAACAAGCTCACATGCGGACGCGACGTACGTGCCGTGAATCGAAAACCATCGCGGCGAGAAGTGTCGATGATGAGCACAGGAAAATTCCGCTTAGAACCACTGATTCGGCGCTTATCGGCGTTTCGAATTTATTTACAGGTTAACCAAGACGTCAGATAATCACGGGGAATGAATTTTGAAAAGTGACTCATGCTTATCTCGTGATTACATCTCCAGACGTGATAATAAACTTAACAATTGGAAAATTACCGAGATTTTTATCAAGTTATTCGTAAAACGTGTTGATTTACACATTTTTGTAACAGAATTATTACTCTGATGAAATTTATGGTAGGCAACCAACAATGCATGGTTTTACAGAGCAATAATTTAAAGATTACTTTGAAAACTGCGTGATAAAACGAAAAACAACTGAAAATCATGTTTAATATTTGTAAAACGATCATAAAACATATAAATGATTATAAATTTATAAGAATTACGCGGAATTAAATTTAAATTGTAATTAAAATATTCAAACAGATGGCGCTGGTGACTTTCAACCCTTAATTACAATTCCTGCTGAAATTCAACTGTTTATTTTAAACTTATAACTATAAACACAATGTTCCTCATAAATAAACAGGATTTAATTTAAATTCTCGCAGATTTTAGCTTTGCTGTGTGAGTTTCAGGCGCACGTCGTCGTGCGGCGCCTCGTGCGTGCGGCGCCCACCCCAAAATATTGATTCAACCCTCTGCCCAGCGCGGTGGCGTGTCGCGGGCGTGTGTATGTGTATACATTATACGCATACTTTCTCGTCTGTGTGTGTGTGTGTGTTCGTTCGCCCCGATCCTGCTGCTGGCAGCCGCGAGCGCCGCAATACACACAAGCGCGCGCGACCAAAAAATTCCAAACCAGCCTCGCGAGCGATTTTCGCGTCCGCGATCGCATCCGCATCGCGTCTTACAAGAGTTCCGCAAGGCGGTGAAACTGCGTGTGAAGTCGCAGGAAGCCGTGGCGGCGCGCGGGGTGGCAGTGAAAACGAGTGCAGTGTGTCGGGCGCCAGCGATCGACCACCGACAATCACACCACCAAAATTAAGTGTTCCTGGTGGAAGAAAACTCTATTCTGGGGTATCTATCAAGTGGAAGGTGGAAAATCAGCAGAAAGAAGAGTTTTCCAGTGTTAATTACGAGTTTTATCCTTGAAATGATTACCAAAAGGTGTGTGGATATTAAAATTACTATTAATATATTGTTTTGTATAAATAATAAGTAAATATTGTTAGTTTTTTGCTTTGGTAAAGATTTTACGGCTTGAAAAGAAAATTATCTAAGGATATGCAGTATTTGCGCCTTGTATGCAGGCAACTATACCTACACGTGTGCACAGCGTGTTGCCTATATTACAAGGTTGTTTACTCGAATAACTTTTGAAAAGTTTTAGACTCTAGTAACAATTGCGTGGCGGGACGAGCAAGAAGCGCGGATTGATTGCTGCGCAATGTATTCGTACTGGATGAGCGGCATCCAGGCGTCCGTATCGTCGAAGCTGCGCTCGTCGTTTTGACATGTGAGCGAGCGATTGTCCTGAGAGAGAGCGGCTCGATCGAGGGACGATCCACTAGCGCGCCTCATCGGCGACGACGAAACCACCACCGCCGCCACCAGCAGGAGGCGGCCGCATAGCGACGACGCCCTGCCGCCGTCGCCGCCGTCGTCGACGCCGCACGCCACCACCACGGCGGCCGCAGCGACAGGCGCGCGGCGCACCTCCGCCGCCGCCGTCATCATGCAAGCGAAGGAAACTGCCGGCAACGTCGCCGAAATGCATCAGTACGTCGGCCCGTATCGTCTTGAGAAGACTCTCGGCAAAGGCCAAACAGGTACCACACCACACGCAAATCAATAATTATCGAATCATTCATCACACGCTTGATCACGCGAATCAATTACAGGTCAACACATTACGAATATTAGTAATACCTAACCATGTTACAGGCCTAGTCAAATTGGGTGTCAACTGCGTGACGGGCAAGAAAGTCGCCATCAAGATCATCAACCGCGAGAAGTTGAGCGAGAGCGTGCTGATGAAGGTGGAACGCGAGATCGCCATCATGAAATTGATCGACCATCCGCACGTGCTGGGACTTTCGGATGTTTACGAAAACAAAAAGTATCTCTACCTTGTGTTGGAGCATGTTTCCGGTGGCGAGCTGTTTGATTATCTGGTTAAAAAAGGAAGACTTACACCGAAAGAAGCGCGGAGGTTCTTTAGGCAAATTATTTCCGCGTTGGATTTTTGTCATAGTCATTCTATTTGGTAAGCAAAACAAAAAAAACAAATGAATATTATTAATTGATTTTTTTGTAGTCATCGTGATTTAAAACCGGAAAATTTACTCCTGGACGAGAAGAATAACATCAAAGTTGCTGATTTTGGCATGGCGTCATTACAACCGCAAGGATCTATGTTGGAAACGTCATGTGGGTCACCGCATTATGCCTGTCCTGAAGTTATACGGGTAGCCTATATTAAACTAACCTTAACATATTTATACCTAACTAAAATACTTGTTATTTTCACAGGGTGAAAAATACGATGGACGTAGAGCTGACGTATGGTCTTGTGGTGTGATTTTGTACGCTTTGTTAGTGGGTGCACTACCTTTCGACGACGATAACCTACGACAATTGCTGGAGAAGGTGAAACGCGGTGTTTTCCACATACCGCACTTTGTTCCGCCGGATTGTCAAAGTCTCCTACGGGGAATGATTGAAGTGAACCCGGAAAAACGTCTAAATGTAAGTTAAAACTAAAAATCTAACCTCAAAATTAATTTTTATGCGTTTTAGTTGTCTGAAATCAACAAACACCCTTGGGTGACAGCTGGGGGTAAAGGTGAGCTGGAATTAGAACTGCCAATGATGGAGGTGGTGCAAACCCACGTCCTGCCGAGTATTGAAGCGGTGGATCCTGATGTTCTACAAGCGATTTGTAGCCTTGGGTGTTTCAAGGAACGCGAGAAATTGATTCAACACTTGTTAAGTCCAAGGTAATGATATTTTCAGAGGTTATGTATGAAATATGAAATTTAAGGTTATAATTGTGTTTTGTTTGTAGTCACAACACAGAGAAGGTTATCTACTTCCTGCTACTAGATAGAAAGCGTAGACGACCAGCGCAAGAAGACGAATCCGAATCAATCGTGCGTTTGAGGGTTGACAGCGCAGACCCGCCACGAAAACGAATTGATACTTGTAGAGTAAATGGATCATCAAGTTTACAATTTGGACAGATCAGCGAAGGCAGTCCCCTGACACCCAGAAGATCACAATATAAGTTAGTTGTGATTATTGGAGGTTATATTTGAGGTTATGTAATATAATGTGTTTTAGACGTCATCATGCTCGTCGTAGTCCATCAACAGGCAGCACACACAGCAGTCTGAGCATCCACTCGCCGACGCGCAGCAACTCGGGCGCGTCCAGTCCCGTCCACTTTAACAGCACCACCCCCAACCGTACGCCGCCTCCATCGCGCTCACGCACCCGCCACCATTCTAACAATAACGTTTGCGCAGGAATCTCGTCAGCGGCGGGCGGGCAGCGCTCGCAGTCGCATCATCGCACCGCGGCGGTTACAGTCACGCCACCGCCGCCATCACCAGCAGCGCCAACGCATCACCGCGCAAACAGCAGCGGCGGTAGTGCAGGCGGTGCATTTTTACTCGCCTCGCCGGAACAGGACGCCGTTGCGCCTGCGATGACACCGCCAGGCTCACCGCATTCAAGCGCTGGTGGAGGCGGTGGTGGCGGTGGAGCTACCGGTCATCATTGGCGCTCACGCTTAACTACGATCAAGAATAGCTTCCTGGGATCGCCACGTTTCCATCGGCGGAAAATGCAAGCGTCTTCGGAGGAGATGCATCTCACGCCGGAGTCATCACCTGAACTCACGAAGAAGTCTTGGTTTGGGTCGTTGATGACCACTGAGAAGGACGAAACGTTTACTATACTCGTCAAAGGCAAACCGCTTGCCACCGTTAAAGCAGATCTTATTCATGCGTTTCTATCAGTAAGATATTTCTCAAAAAATATAATTAAACACTCATAATAATAATTAAAATGATTAATTATTGCAGATAGCCGAATTGAGTCATAGCGTATCCAGCCCGATGTCTTTCCGCGTGGAATACAAACGGGGCACGACTGGACCCGCAATGTTTCAGCGTCATGTGCGATTCCAAGTTGATATTTCCACGATTACTAAACAATCGACAGATAATGCCAAAGAACACTTGTTTGCCATTACTTTCACGCTATTATCCGGTAAATATTTATTATATTTAAGGCAGAATAGAGATTTATATTTGAAACATGTGTTTTTTAGGTAATATTCGGCGTTTCCGGAGAGTATGTGAACATATTCAAGCGCAGGTCTGCACGCGTCGACCTCCGCCCTCACCGAGAGCTCAAAGAAAATTCGGCGCGGAGATTTCAGAGTCATCTAGCTGCGGATCGGACTCTAGTGAATTATATTTAAACACAAGACAAGTAAGGGTTTGAAAATCATTTGATTTAAGAGGAAATTAACATTTTGACACTTTAGTCACGGTCGTGACTAAAGTATTTTCTCAGTAGTTTGAAAGTAAAGAAAACGTAAATGTGGTTAAAGTGTTTCTTAGCACACTAGAAACCTAACCTATGAATTTTTATTCCATAGCAGCTCAAAGTATTGCAACTCGAAAGCTCCGACCTTGAATCCGAATGTTCTGTATTCGACGTCCGCACAGCAGTGCGCGAAGCAGGCCGCCGTGCCTCAACAAACAACAACACCGAAAGCATGGAACAAATTCCCGGCACGCCGAAAGCAGTGCGCAGCAGCAGCGAGAACACGGAAAACACGTGCGAAAAAGCGTGCATCACCACAATGTCGGGCAGTTCGATTACTTAAGCCACACTCAAGTATCACACACTATGAGTTACGAGTATATAAAGTTCAACACCAAAAGCGTATAACGTTAATCTTAGGAAAATCAAGGAAAATAAAGTGCAATGTATGTAAGCGTAAAAGTAAGTGTAAACAAAACTTGGGGAATTGTTGCAATCGGAATGTTACACACGCCAAAGATACCACCGACAAAACACAAAACACGAATACCAAAGATTATTATAATTATAATTAAATCAAAGGGTTTGAAATACAAAACTTTGAAAGAAAAGAAAAAATGAAAACCCTAGATAGTTAAATTCGTAATTATTAAATAACTAACGATGGAAGCAAACCAAAACAAAACAAAAACATACTAAGTGTAAATACTAGCCGAATTGTTTCGCACCCCACCCTATTAATGATTCTATAATTAATTGCGTTGTTTCTCTTGTAAAACGTTGTTCTCTCTTCGAAAAATGAAAATGAAAACTCTTATCCCTTATGATAACGTGCGTGAGGCGCACACGAAACTAATAATCGCATGTAAACTATGAATTAACTACTAATTAGCTATAACGAGTAATAAGAAAATAAACAATGAGCTTTTGTGATTTGCGGTACCGGTGTGTGTGTGGACGGCGAAAGTTGGGTGCAGGAAAACTAATAAGTACTACATCGTGTGTTGTTTGTGTATATTACCTAACCAAGAATTTAAACAATTGTAACTGTATAAATATGCACAGCTCGGAGGATAATCAATAATCGTAAAATAATAATTGCCGGCCATTTGAAGTAAAAACTTAAACAAAATATAAAGAAAAACACTACCGAATGCGAATTATTGTACAAATCAGTACTAGTGAACAGTACTTTTTAGCTGAACAAAAGAAACTAAAACTAAAACGAACACATATGACATTTAACAAATAACAATGATAAGACACGTGTAGCTAGTCATTAAATTTTAGGCTAATTGATGCAGATGATGATGATGATGAGTGGAGATAAGATGGTTATCAAAGGTTTGAATTTATGTTGCGCGATTTTGACTACGCTTTGAGTTCTAGGCTAAATCAGGAAATGAATATGTGTACAAAGATATTTTTTGTATATAGGGACAAAAAGTCTGTCACAAAACCCAGCTGCTCTTGCCTTTGCTCTCTCTGAATCTCACCACGCTATGTATTTGTTTATTTGTTATCGCACTTTTGTATCGAGTGTACGGATTACGTAGTGCACCAGTTTGTGTTGTGAGTTGCGAGTTTTGTTTCTTCGTTATTGCGACTCGGAGCGACACGTTCGATTGGATTATTATCAGATTATTGTACTTACACACTAAGATAAATAATTGATATGTCATAAGTGCTTGTATATATAATATTGTGATAAATAATAATTAATTAATTTGATTGCTATGTGAATGTGAAGAGAATGGAAGAGAATGGTGTTGTTTGTGTTGTGTAGGACAACGAGAAGAAGAGAAATTGAAGAAGATGAGATTGGTTGTAGGCGACTGTGAACTACGAGAACGAAGATAAGTAATAAACAGGTAAGATGTTAAAAGGCCCTTCAAACCACCCCCGTATATAGCATGTGAATCTATATTACGGTCTTTTATACTTTACTTATTTTTTCTTCATTTTAGTATTAATAAATAAGAAGTGTAATGATGCGAAATTTTATTTACAATCTTAAAAAGTGTCTGCTAAAAAGAAATAAATAAGATTAATTTGGGGTAAAGGGAAGGAACTCATTCACTCACACACATAAATACATTACATAACAATAGAAATGAGAAATAATGTTGTAATGCTGAAAGAAAAGCTGAAAGAGAGCTGAAAGAAATGTGATTAGGTACTAACTACCTACTATTGTGACTACTATTTCATTCTAAAGATAACTTGGCAGTCTGTTCGTATTAATGTGAAGCAAATAATGAACACCTCGCCAAGTTATCAAACTACTCTAAAAGAAAGAAAGATTACTGCTATTGATGACATCTAAATGGAGGTACAAGAGTGCAGCTGCAGCTGAAAGGCAAGTGAGACATTATTGCAGGAAAGGAAAGGGCCTAACAACGATAACGCACGCGGATCTAATTCGCGGGGACTTCTGAAAACGGAAAATGATTAGTAGCCAAACACACATTCACACAGGAGGAGAGAAAGACAGTGCCCTGCCTAATTGGCCCTACCTAATCACATACTTAGCTAGATCATCACAGACCGATTCATGTTGTTCTAGTGGGGGGAAATCGCGACGCGTTTGCGATCTGTGATGAGAGTGGCATAACGGAAATGCCCGGTAAACACACAAATATAAAAGCAACCCGAAGAGACACACAGCAATAAACACACATCATTCACACATTCATACTACGAAAAGACGGACCCGATAATTAATACAGCTCAGAGTCATCAAATTAAATGTGAAAATTTGAAAATTAAATCAGATTAAAGAGCAAATTAAATAGAAAATTGATTTAGATGTGAAATTGATGTGAATTGACTCCAAGCTAACAATAACGACCGAACGCGGATGACGCGATGCTGAAAACTGTGATACTTTGAGTTAACATAAAGCAACTAGGCAGGTGATAATAAACTACATTCTAGCTTTAAAGTTGCTCGATAAAAATGAAACGTTAAGAAAATTGTATACCTACTAGATTATAAAAGATTGACTAAATATGTTTGTAGGTATTATGTTTGAATATTTATATTCATTTGTCGCGAGTGCAAAAAGTGCTTATAATATTTAAAGAAAGGCAAGTTAACTCAAAGTATCACCTGTACATAGATAGAAAGAAATAGTAAGAGGGAAACGAGGGCATGCCGCGATTGGGATGCCCAAATTGCAAACAGAAAGCAGAATTGTGCATCCGGACAATGGGAAATGTCCAGATGGGACAAAAGGGCGCATACAGATACAAGACAACCAGTTTGGTGTCAGGTGTACTCACTACTTAGACATCAGGCGATCTTATTATGCTGGGTGGATTAGCCCATAACCAAGGTCATAGCAATCAGTGGAATTCCCCTTGGGCTGACACACGAGCAGCAATTGTACTGGCACGTGAATCAGTCAGGGGCACTAATTGCCACCCTCCGATTAGGGGCATCACCACACCTACCTTCAATCCGGCTCCAGGAAACAGGGATCATTCGTCTTGTTTCACTGGAGGATGCGTCGAGTACTCCCCCGTTGTCCAACGCTGGTAGGAAGCTAGAAGAGGTCCAACGATGCCCCTCTCATCATGGATGGATGGATTCCATTCGCGCACTCGGTTTACTCCCGCACTTTCGGTTACTATTCGCGGCGCGCACTCGAATAATGTACGAATACTTAATTACTTTTAATGATCGCGACCCGAGTTCACATCCGACCTGAAAAGCAAGCAGAGAGACCAATTAGTAGGTATTAGTGGTTAATATTTTACTTACAAATCACTTTGTTTTTCACTACACTCTTTGTCACTTCACTACTTTCACCACAAGAACAACTTGTGCAGAAATATGTTAATAAACACACAGAATCCGAAAAACACCAAGATTATTTCTCCTCAGTGGCCCTCAGGTAGGTATCTGCAACTTAACACGTGTATCTAAAATAGAGTATAATTCTATTAGAACTTAAGAATTAATAGGAAATACTTAAAGCCATCTTTCGGAATCTCCATTATGAAAGTGTGCATTCATGTTATTCGTCGTCAGCTGTTCCAATGACTACAGCTGTTCATGGTATCATCCCGTTGTGAGGAGGAGCAACAAACAACAGGTAGTTGTAGTACGTCCTACTAAACCGGCACGACCCTCTCTGTAGGGGTGCACAATAAGGGTAGAAGTGATTTCCAGCCAATGGGGTGTCTCCGTGTCGTGCAATGGTGGCGGAATATTTCTCACGATGAAAACTTGCATTAGAAAAGTAATAATTTGGTATTAGTATTGTGTTTATTATTTGTCTTGCAACATTGTATCATTCAGGTACTTTTGTTCTGTCTACAAATACCCTACGTCTGTTATATGATTGCGGTCAAGGTTTTCTGCAACTTTCTAATTCTCAATCTGTGCTACAAAAAAACAGGCCATTGGCACAGCTGCAACCCCAGACTACCGTTAACTCTGAATGGTCAGGGTTGAGTGAGCATGCAGGCTAGACATAATAAATCTGTTATTCCTACTTGGAAATCTGTGTTTAATATTGATACTACTACTAAATTACATTTGAATTAAGGAATGAACTAGTTTTATATGAAGCAATTAGGCACAGACGCGATTCGCACAACGTGATTTTTACATTTTCATGCAAATACACAAACATCCGCAATAAAATCGTAAAAATATTATGATACACTCACCGTTCACTGCTTTCCACGTCGATTTGAACCGATTCCAGGCCATTCCAATTGATTTGAACTCAGATGCAATTGGATTTTGAAAAAACAGCAAGCACACGTCTTATCAGCACAAAGACCAACTGCACAATATGGCTGACTTGGTTGCACAACTTACACGGCTCAACACGGCGAGCGCACAGGTACGACGCATGGCGGTTCAGCCGACGGCCGACCCGCAACATGAAAAACACAAGATAACGCAACTAATCTCAAAATATCGCCAAAATAACTATGACTTCTTACCTGCCGTGCTCTTCCCCGTCGATTTGTGTATTTTTCACTATTCACCTTTTGATTTTTATTCGGTTGCAATAATATTTCTGCGGAGCAAACAGTAACACTTGTAGACTCGATAACGGTCGGCGCAGGAAGAGGACATCTTGTACGCCGGCGTCATCCTAGTGCAAAACGCAAAGTAGTAACTTTAGTGTTTTTTTGTTTTGAAGACACACACTGCTGCAGTGATGCCGAAATTACACGAATGCATCACCGATTCAAATGAGCGTTGATTTGGTTTGAATTATGATTGAAACCGATATTCACTTTCTTATTATGAAATTGTCATTAGTCGTATTTTTTGATATTATTTGTTGCGACGACAGACTGTGTTTATCTACGCACGACGTGCACTCGATGACGAACGGACACAGACTGATTCCCGCCAATTAAACGGGTTCGTTGGCGAAAAGCACAAGTGTGAATCGCGCCTAAACTGCTCACACACATACAAACACTTCGTGTGCGTGAAAATACACGACTTTCAACACTGGTGGCGCGATCGGGTGCTAGATCTACGCGGATCAGCCGAGACAACTTGGTTGATTGCCACTGTTAAATCTTTAAAACGACATGATGATAATGATGATGATAGGTAGGTAATATTTGCATGTTATTTTTAAGATTTTTTTCGAAAATATTTTAGAATAACAATGTAGGTAACTTTGTCATAAAAATTAAATGAATCATTTTTTGTGTTTAGAATTTAAGAGCGCTCAGTCATGCCTCAAGAAATTGACCTCAGTTGACCCCTCCTCGTATCGGCTCAAATCACTGCAGTTTTGTAACGTGTACCTAAATAGAAATGTTGAAATATAAATTATTAAAAATTATTTAAAATTTTGAAATGCACAGTTTTAAAAAGAAATTTTTATAAAAATAAGTTTTATAAAATAAATTTGATAAAATAACTTCTATAAAATAAATTTGATAAAAGTAATTTGATAAAATAAAGTGTTATAAAATAAATTTGATGCAATAAGTTTTATAAAATGTAAAGTTTTCCAAAGAAAATTTAAAATACAATGTCTTAAAAAAAATAAAAATAAATAATTAAAAAGAAAGTTTGTGTGTACGCGGATGCGTCGTGCATGTGTGACGACGCAGTTATTTCATTGCTTTAGTCTACGTTTGCACACCGTGCTTAGTGCACGATGCTGGTACGAGGCTTTCGCAGTGGTCGTGCTAGGATGGATGTCGGGGAGGGGTGCGCGGTGTAAGGCCGGCCGCGTGTGCTAGGGTGTGCTGGTTGAAAGGCAGCGGAGACCGAGGATATGTAGCAGGCAAAGCAAGCGTTGCGAGTAAAGAGAGAAGGATGTTGATTGAGTGCGACAGAAGACAAGCCAGAGTGCAGTCGAGTAGAAAACACGGCAGAGAGACGGGAATGAAGAAGGGGAGAAGTAGAGACCTAGAGTCGACATTGCATTGCATAGTTAGCGAATAAAGTTGAGAAGATTTTGAATTAGAGACATTATGCGGAGTTATTTCGAAACAAACTTAACAAAATAATGTTTTAAACAGAATGTTTTAAACTTTGAAATACAAAGTATTTAAATAAAAACTTTTTCACTTTTAGTGTGTAACAAAAATTAGCAAGTTAAATACAATTTAGTGCAATATCAAATCAATGCAGACATTATTCACACCAGTTAGTGTGCTATTGCAAACACTTGCATTGATTTGTGAAAGTTTAGACTTATGTGCATGGGTATATTTAGTACTGTCGCTTGCTACGTT